TAATTCAGAGTAGGGAGTGAAAAGACTAACATTGTATTGGCATCCTGGCATCACTGTAGCTGTTGGAATAAACACTTCCATTCTACCTTTCACTTGAACTGTAAACAATGATCTGTTGTATTCCAGGATCTGAGTCTGTGCATGATATGACAGATTCTGTGCCAACAGCAAGAAGTGAAATTCACCGAGCTGTTTCAGGCTTAAGTGGCAGGTGTGCCATAGGAGCACACTCTTCTGTCTGCTTTCCTTAAGTTTTGTTCTTTTCAAGTGTTACCTCTTCTCTACTTAGTCCTCAATCCTACCTTTATCCCAGTGAGCTGTCTGTATCAGATCCTGCCTCTTCCATTCCTTCCCAGGATCATCTTCTGTCTTCCCCCAGCCTAACCCCTCTAGTCTCCTATTCTCTGTTCACCTTCTCTTACCTCTCCCACTGCATCGTTATCTCTTGTCCTCAGGAAACTTCCTTGAGATTTACAAGCAACTAAAGTTTTCTGGCTTCACATTAGTTGGTCCAGTTCATAGTCCAAGTCAGTGTTGGCTTGACCTTCGTGTTTCCATGCTAGCCATAAAGTTAATTCTTTCCTCCTTTGAGATCAGAAGGGCTATTCTCAATGCATAGGTGGCATACAGCCACCGTGGCTCTGTTCCTTCAGTTTGGGAACAAAGCCTGCTGCAACCTGGACAGTAGGTGCCACTCTTGCATAGCGGGAGCTGAAATCTTGTGCAGAGGGATCCTAACCTCCATCCTCTGCCAAGCGTTATGGAGTGCAGGGAATCGCTGTGGTTTTTGTTTTCTTTTCCTGAAGGTATATTAACCAAGTTTTTTCAGGTAGCTGAGGCTCTGCACTAGAGGTGATAGAGTTGCATCACTGTAGGGTTAGGGCAACTTTGTTACCCTGCTTTTGGGAGCTTTGGTGTTTTGCTTCAGGCAGGGGGTTGTTGTTTTGCTGAAATTGTATTGAGTCTAACCTGGTAAGTGTTTCTAATGTTAGGGAAGAAAAATACAGTGTGTCTATATAGTTTCAATCAGTGCAATTATTTTGTCTCAAGTGTCCTAATGCAGGTGTGTGGCACAGAAAACCTTAGTCTGAATAATTAACCTTTTGTGAAGTCACAAGCCAAGCCACTATCTGTGAAATGAGAAATGGTAGTCAGAAAGGGATAAGCCCTGTGTATAATTGAAAGCTACCTTCATTCTCCTCTCCTATAGTTTTAGAGGCTATTTTATTGGTGTTTCTTCCCTTCACCACAGGTGGCCTCATCTTTCAAAACAGGAGAACTAAGGTTTTATCTGTTACAATCTCACTGAAAACACACAGTAAAATTAAGAGGGTCCATGGCTTTCTCTTCTCCCCACCCATGTTTGAGGTAAATGAGTATAATACTATAAACATAGTCACTACTGAACTGAAAGTATTTAACTTGCATTTCCTCTGTTTGGACAGAGTTATGAGGACCCTCTTGATCAAAGTGCTGATGAAGAAACAGTTGAACAAAAGGAGGTGCTCAGCATGGACAAGGACAGTGGATTGGCAGAGGAGTTGGTAAAAGATGGCCAGGGATGTGCTATGTCAGAGGACCCAAGCACTACTGATGATGTCAACCAAGAGTATGAAACAAAAAGTGAAGTAAAAAGGTGCGTTGGGTCACAATATTGCAGTCACTATGTCATTTTGTGTCATGTTTGATACTGTCAAACAAGTCTAAATTTACAAATATGAACTGGGGGGGCTACTCTCTAAATCAGGTTTGAATAAATACGATACTAAACCAAGAGTGTAGGACCTTCTTTGGAAGTGATGTTTGACTGCAAATTGCTGCCATATCACTTACCAGTTGCTGATTCAACGTTCTGAGATGAACAATTGATTGTACAAATTAAATAATTCTTTTTCTGGATGCATGTGCATTGTGTTGTGTGAAGGAAGAACGGGGGAAAGTAGCAGAGAATCTGATAACTGAAAAGCATCAAAAGCTCGTGAAAGCTGAATGTTCCTGTGCACTGATCTTGTTTTCTTTTTGTCTATTAGCAGCACTAAGCCTAAAGGGAAGAAAGTCAAGGAAGCAAAAAGGTGTGCTAAGGCATCTTCAGGGAACCCAGCAACGGTATGTCAAATTACTTACAGTATTTAAAATAGAATCATAGAACTGTTAAGGTTAGAAGGGACCTTAAAGATCATTGAGTTCCAACCCCCCAACCATGGGCAGGGACACCTTCCACTAACACCCAGTTACTCAAAGCTCCATCCAGCCTGGCCTTGGACACTTCCACAGGATGGGGCATCCACAGCTTCTCTGGGCAACCTGTTCCAGTCCTCACCACCCTCACAGTCAAGAATTTCTTCCTAATACCTAATATAAACCCACTCTCTTTCAGTTTAAAACCACTACCCCTTGTCCTGTCGCACTCTGCACATATAAAAAGGCCCTCTCCCTCTCCTTTATAAGCCCCCTTAAGGCACTGGAAGGCTGCAGTGAGATCTCCCTGGAGCATTCTCTTCTCCAGGCTGAACAACCCCAGCTCTCTCAGTCTGCCTTCACAGGAAAGGTAAAATATGGTGGTCATATTATTACAAACAACGTTAATTGTTTTGATCACCTCTAGTCCACAAATTCTATTCCTGTGTTTTTATTAGAAGCTAGGAGACTGAAACTTCAGCTCTTGTCCCTGCGGAGAAAAGCAGGACTAAGCTTTATTCTAAGAGATTTGCTGAAGTTGCTAAAGTTCTGTATCCAAGGCAGTTCAAATAAATTAAACATCTGAGGACAAAGCAGTTCTCACTAGCTAAGTGACAGGCAGTAATATTTGCATCTTCCCCAATATTGATGCTTCCCAGAGAGAGCAAAATTTTGTAGTAACTATGGCTAGGACATATTAAATTCATTACATCTGAGAGCCCAAAGAATTATGTGTATAGTCGGTGAAGTCAAAAGTATTCTTTACTTGAATTAGATTTGCAAGGCTTCTATTGTTGTTCTTGGTTTTACTTAGACTTCTTTGAAGTATCAAGAAGTTGTATTTGCAGATTTTTAAAAAATTACATACATTTATTTGTTAATCAGTATTGGTGATAGAAACAAAGAGCTTATTCACATTTCATTGTCTAAGAGAAACTCTGTATGACAGATTGGTGTATTACACTTATTACATATTCAGTATGAATGTGAAGCATTCTGGGTTTTTTATCGTTGCAGAATGAAGTTTCCATCATCTGTGTAACCTGCAACTGTACATTTCCATCCCGAAATAAATTGTTTGAACACCTAAAAGCCACAAACCATGCAAGAGCAACATCCACATCAGTTGCAAGTGAAGCTGTAAACACCAGAAACAAAAAAGAGAAACGCAAAAACAGATAGGACTTTGCTACACTGACAGTCTTCAGCATTGTAAATTAAAACTCTCTGAAAACTGAAACATGCACATTGCCTATGTCTGGAGTTTAACAAAGAAAGCAAGTACCAATTCAGGAAAAAAATGAAGATGCAACAAAAGGAATACCATCTTGTGGAGGAACCTGTGTTTTCCTTTGGGTTTTTCAGCCTTTCTTTAATCACAGAGTGGTTTGGTGGCACAGTCAGGGCAGGGGCTCCTTCCAGTTAAGGCCCCTTAACCTTGCAGTGCCTTTCACTCTGAGGATGGGGATAATAACTTAAAGCTACTCACCTTGTATTCCTGTAGAAACCTGCATGGATAAAGTACCCACAGATGGGAAATAATAAATTATTTTGACACTTGTGTGGCTGTTTTTCTTTTGAGAGGGCTTATCTAAGGGCGCATGTAGCCAGTAGCAGGGCCTGTACTTCTCTGATCCTCTATCAAAGATGAAACGTAACCAAGACATGGAGAAACACAGGCTTTTCTTCTGCCATCCTTAAATTACTTAATTACATTAAGCAGCAGACAGAAGGAAAAGACTAAGATGACAAAGCTGTTTAATCACTTTTGACAATTCCTATTTGTTTTGCACATCTACCGTGTTGGAAAAATGGTCTAGTGGAAGAGTCTTGCTGGAATAAGTGAGGGAGAAAAAAATGAGTGGCATAAACAAATGAATTTGTTCTGATTTCTAATGAAGAAACATGGCACTTATGTTTAAATGCTTAATCTACCTGATCTTGAGTAGCACTTGAAAAAATGGTGGGATAATAAACACCTGATTTTGGAGTGGAATTGGATTGTACACAGGAGTTGTCAATGCAGTTGAAGAAGGCGGTGCTCTGCAAGGGGCTGTAGGATATTGTTTAGGAAACTTGTAGAAGGAGATTCCCAGAGGCACTATACTGTGTTACTTAAATTCTTCTAAAGGTTCAATTTATCACAAAAAGCAGACTCCCCAAGAATACTCTTCCCCCTAGGCTGACATGGTACTTTATTGAGTCAAGGAATTATTCAAATGTTAAAGTTTGAATTGAAGTGAAATTATAAATGTCCAGTTCTTGCTGATTGTCCACACCACCTTTTTTTTTTTTTTAATTGAAAACTGAAGTACGCAATGAACTAAAACAATAAAAACAGTGATTATGTAAGAAAGGAACAACATTTTATTTCACCAGCCAGAGTTTACACCTTTGCTAAATGATTAATGGGTGTGCTGTGCAATCCCAAAAGCAGCAGGAGGAAAAGAAAAGCGTATTTTGGTGAGGGTGATAACTGGATTCTAATCCCCATGATAAAAATAATTACTGTAATTAGAAACATTTGAACTTTGTGCAAACTCCTAGTAATGCTCTAATTACAGTGTATCCCTGTAGTCAGGGTACATAGTTTTAACTCTGAAGCTTCCAGTTACCTTTTGCTTAGGGTGATTCTCAGCCAGAGATTGTGCAAAATCTGACAGAGACTGGTGTCACTGGAGGGACTGTTTCCATCACTCTATCTAAAAATTACCAATTCCAATGTGACTGTCACAGTTGAAAGAAGAATATATGTGTGTGTCTTCATCTGACACTCAGTTAATCCAGTCAGGGTTCTTGGATAAGGCCAAAATAGATGTGTAGCTAGGCAAGGAAACAAATCAAGTCTACTTTGCAGCTGCTTTTTCCATGTGTCTCTGTAAAGCAGTACGGAATACTTCCACAGCAAAGTCGACATCGTTTTTAGTAATGCACATAGGGGGCTTGATTCTCAATGTCTGAGGAGAGAGAAGAAAAAAGAAAAGAGGTCCTAAAAATTGTCTGGAAAGAACACAGTTTCAAGCAGCCTATTTAGTTCAGCACTCCCCTTCTGCCCCAGAAAAAGCTGTGGAAAAATAATATAGGAGAACAGCATAGCAGAGACTGAAGCTTATGATAAGTGCACTCTGAAGTGAGGCAATTTTGGACTTGAATGCATTTAATTGCATCTGACTCACGACTCTCCTCTTGATAACCTGACTGCCTCCACAAAAGAACTGACTAGAATAGGTCATGTCTGCAGCTTTGTTACTGCAGACAGAACTAGTATAAGATCTCAGGTGGGTTTGTTTTAAGAAAGAACAGAGACAGATTTATTTTCCTTTCTGGCAGCTTTGCCACAGGGAAAAGTGGTATCTGCTGAGAGTGCCAACCTCTCGCATTGTGTCAGCTGATTTAGTGGTTTATTATAGGCTTTTTTTAAAGGCTTTTAAGAGAATGCTTTTTGAATGAATCACTAAATACTATCCTTTAGTTAGGGTGCCATAGCTGGAAGGCACGTTGATCAAAAAGGGATATATGCACAGCTAAACTTGGCAAGAACATCAGCTCTTAAATCCAAGTGTTTGATCTATGTTTCCAAGAGTATTTAAATTCCATAAGAATCTTAAACTTCCAGTTTAATTTGTCTGTCAGTATGTCACATGACTTAGTACAGCAAAAGCAGAATAATGGCCTTTCCCACCCACAGCCCTTAGTGAAGCAAACACAGATGAACAACCCTCTCATCAGACAGAATCAGACTTTACCACACTGAGCTGCAGCCTATTACCCACGTTCTGCTCTTGACTTGGGAAAGAACTGATGAGGAGACAGATGCAGTGCCTAATTTACTTTAGCCACCTTCCATCTCACAGGGAAGCTGCCTCCCCTGTGTCAGAGGGCTGCAGTGACCCAACCTCATCATGAGGTATTGCATCCTCAACTGATGTCTTGGGTACAGCATCCTCAGCTGGCTGTGCTGATGCCCATTAGCCTGCAATTCTCACTTCTGCGTTGCACTGCTGAATTTACCATCAACAATTTTTTTTTTTTTTTTTAAATTACAAATAGACTGTTACCAGCTCTCCAGACTGAAACAACTAGTAAAACCAGCCTTGTTTAGTGCTGACAGGTCAGGTGATAACCTAAACTATAGCAAAGATTTAGCAGGCCTGAATATTGCTGAGTTTTTCTAATTTGCATAGACTTTGGTACTGTAGTGCCTTGGTATTCCAGGGGAAGTTGTCCTTCTGAAGGAAAACTCCAAGGCTTTGAGCTAGTCCAGCATACTTGAAAAGATAAAATAGCTCCTGCCCAATTAAAAAATACACATTAAACAGAGATACTTCCTAAGGGTATACTTTTTCTAGTTTATTTACTAAACTGAAGTTAATTTAACTTGAGGGAATCTCAGATGTAGTTCATGAGGATAGAAAATCTTTATTTACAACCAGAGGTTCAATACCTGATTGTAGAGCCCTCCTCTGCCGATCAGAACCCCCATGTCTTTACAGTCCTCCCAGATCTGACCAACTTCTTCAGCTGGAAGCGGGCAGCGACTGTCCTAAGGAAAGCAAATATTAAACTTCACTTAGATATTCTAAATTAGTTCTATGGAAAAGATGTCTATTCAGGTCTCTTTAATAAATCCCATTCTCAACTCTAGCTGAAAATGTTAGCATAACTTACCTGCTTTGATGAGTTTATGCAATTAAGGTACACGTCATTGGTTACTCAGGGCTTGTGAAATGGCCAAATGATGGAAGGTTCTGGCTCATTTTTAGCCAGAGCCATGTTTTCTCACTTCACTGGCTGCTTTTTAATAGAAAATATTCCTACTATTTCAACTGAAATAAAATGTGATAAAACTTCCAATGGCACTGTAAATTGAAAGGAATAAAGTAAGACACTAACCTTATCTGTCACCATTTCTACACCAATCATAAGTCCCTTGCCACGAACATCTCCAACAATCTCGAATTCATCCCGTATTTTAGCCAGCTCCAGTAGCATGTATGTTCCCACATCCTCACTGTTCTTTTGTAGACCATCTTCTTCAATAGCCTGGTTAAAATGATGTACCATGACAGTGTTGCAGGAGAAGCTTCCAACACATTTTGTTAATCCCCACTGAACTTGACAACTGTATTTATCTCACTTCCTTGGACACTATGTTCCTTCACTACTGCAGTGCTTACATTTTCCTTCTCTTACAAGGTCCTAATGGCATCAGAATACAATTGAACATCATATTTTGATGTTTCTGTGGCATTTCTCACATTTATCTGATTACTTATGTTTAATCCAGTAATTATTGTTCACGTACACTCATACTGGAAAATACCTGACCAGAAGGAATTATTTTCAAAATGTCACCAAAATATTTTAATTCTTTCTTGGTATCATGAGAAGAATATATTAGACAAGGAATATCTATGTGCACTAGTCAGCCTTTTAGGGAACAACTTGAGTGTTGCAGTTATATTCATTCACTCATGCCTTTTAATCACAATCTTTTCTTTGTTCCTTACTTTGCCCTCAATTATCAAAGTTCTGATTTCCAGGCACATGTTGGCACCCACACAGAAACTATGAACATAATGTCTGCATTAAGAAAAATCACATAAACAACTCCCCCTATATACTTGCAGAAGTGGTGGTTTTTCCTTTTCTTCTTCTTTTTCTTTTCTTTCAATTCCATTTTATTCTTCCTGAATCCAACAATCTCCATGGAGTTATTTCAGAGCCAGGCTCCAAGTTAGTTCAGAGTCAAAAGACTCTGAAATACTGGTTCTTTCTTGTTTGTGAACTGTTTTTTCAAAATGTTTTTAATTATATGATCATCCTTCATATAAAATAGTTTAAACCCCCCAAAACACTTGGGAAAGTAACATGAGTAGAAAGTGTAACTGTGATCTGGAACTGTAACCAAGTGGAATTCAGGAATGAACGGTCTGTACATGATCAAGACAAATTGAATAGTGACCTACTACCCACTGACTGATTTTCTACTGGATAATAACTGAAATTTGCTGCAAATTTTTCTGTTGTCTTTTTCATGAGGGATTTTTTTTCCGGAAGGAATTCTGACCTTAAGTATTTTTAACTGTCTGACCATTAGACCTTTGTTAGGTATAAGGTAAAAGCTGTTGAGCTGAAACAATTTTGTTAAACATGTGTGCCAGAAAATAGATCTGCTTTAGCTGAGGACTTGTGTAGTCCTATGAAATAGTTAGCTAAGGTGTTTGGGAAAGTACTTTCCTACATTTTTATTAACGAAATAAAGAACCTAAGGGAGATAAAGATGGTTCTGAAAACATAATTAGAGGGCTCCCATTCTTTCTAGAGATTTGAAAATTTTTGCAATTAAACTAATCAGAATTTGTACTATGCATAGAGCACATTGTCCATGTATGCATAATACATGCCTATGTTTATGCACTTTATACAATTATTTAAAAAATTGCCCACACAGAACTTCATACATGTAAACACTTTCCATTTTTGATACAAAAGGAAGTGTGGTGTATATAAATTTATATAACATTCTCCTTACATCAAGAACTGCAGCTCCAACTACACAGGCCACAGGGCTTCCTCCAAATGTATTAAAGTGAAGGTTTTGAGCCAAGGAATCTGCAATCTCTAAAAGAAAAAGGACAACACTGGTTACTCTTTCAGTTCATAGAATCATAGTATCATAGAATCATAGAATGCTTTGGGTTGGAAGGGACCTGAAGCCCCCCTGCCCTGGGCAGTTACACCTTCCAGTAACCCAGGTTGCTCAGAGCTCCAATCGGCCTTCAACAGTTCAGGGATGGGGCATCCACAGCTTCTCTGGGTAACCTGCTCTTGTGCCTCACCCCCCTCATAGTAAAGAATTTTTTCTAATATCTAATCTAAACTTACTCTCTTTCAGTTTGAAGCCATTCCCCCTTGACCTGTCATTACATGATCTTGTAAAAAAGTCCCTTTACAGCTTTCTTGTACCAGAAGGCCACGATTAGGTCATGCCAAAACCTTATCTTCTCCAGGTTGAACAAACACAATCACCCAGCCTTTCCTCACAGGAGAGGTGCTCCAGCCCTCTAGTCATCTTGGCAGCTTCCTCTGCCTTGTTTGGTAACTGTACTTACCTGCTTTAATTAAGTTACATTTGCTGTGGTTCAATCTTGATTCTACTGCAGACAATGCACTAAGATTTCCTAGAAGCAATCTGTGCAAAATATGACTATTTCCAAAATTTCCATTTTGCATGACTATAGTGTCTAGCAAATGCCAAAACAAAACTTTTTTTAAAAAGTCACACCTCCAACATATGCTGTCATCTGACACCTACAAGCTTTCCTCACTAGATTCGGCCATCCATTTGTATGAATCAAGCAACTGGCTAACACGCAGTACATTGAATAGTAAAATGTTGAATTCTGTAAGGATTTTCACGCTCTGTTACCAGCTCAACACATGACTCATGTGGTCGTTCCTCCTTCAGTTTTACAAACAGCCCCATTTAAACACAGCTTTGCACTAATATAGCACAACACTTGGTAAAACAAATGAGTAATGAGAATCCAACTAGTCAAAAGATACTTTGAGACAAAGATTATTAATAAAACTCAGCTTTTTGAACTCACATCTCTCAGTAACTAACTACTGTGCAGTACATTTTGTAATTACTCTATTTTAAATCGTAGCAGAACGGAACACATACCTTTGGTTGTAACAACAGCTGCCATTGGGAAGCCATTACCAATTCCTTTTGCCAAAGTAACCATATCAGGGACTACATCATGTGTTTGGAATCCCCAGAAATGGCTACCTGTCCGTCCAAATCCTGTCTGTACCTTTCAAAAGGAAAATTCAGAGAAAATCCCCATCACTTTCTCACACTCTACAACATATACTGATTTGCATTAAACTCCATCTGGAGTCAGCTTATTCAGATGGTTCTGCACAAAATACTATTTATTGCAATTGGATTTTTCTTTCATGTGATAACACACCATCATGTTTTAGGCCTGCTGAGATGCACAAATAAGATGCAGATTCCATGTCAAAGAAGACATGGAAGACATGCAAGAAATGCAGATGCTTATGACATTTAAAAGCAACTCCAAGACTGCTGATTTCTGCCACTGCAATGCTGGAGGTATATATCACAGTCACTTTGAAGCCTTTGATACTATTTCAAAATAGTTTTAGCTAAGGAAATTCTATTTCTAAAATGTATTTGCAGAGGTACAGCAATCAACTCTCTTCTATATTTTATGTCAACAACACTCCTAGGAGGAATGGATATTGTGACAAACCTCACATCACGACTGACATTTATTACCTGCATATTTGTGCAAATTTACTGCTCCCAAAAGGTAAGGACTGAAGTCTGCTACAAATATTACCTTTGCTTAAAATAAGAACAAAGGCAGCAAAAACGGGCAGGTTCCTATACTCAGAAAAGTGAACCACGTTAAACTTAAGATATGAAGTGCATAGCATTTAATTTGGATTCTTCTGTGACAACTTTCAGAGGTAACCCAAATTCTAGAGCTCTCATGTAAAAAAAATCCAACTCACTTCATCTGCAATACAAATGCCCCCTCTTTCCCGTATCAGTCGATAAGCTTCCTTTAAGAAATTTCTTGGGTACTGAACAGCTCCATTAACACCCTGGCAAGAGAGAAAAACAATGTCTCCAGGAACAAACAAGGAAACAGGAAATCCAGTTAAGAAAAAACCCGGGGAGCCCTCAGGTAATAGCAAGACTGTTGTCTCAAGTTTCTGGCTTCAGCAATGAAATTGCTTCAGAAAGCTTCTGCTCAGGTCACTCATTCCCATTCCACAGTGCTGTCTGCTGTTCCTTAGCTGTGCTGGTATAAATGTTTGTGAGGCCATACCATGAACTGGATGACTGTAAGACTGAGGAAATTAAAAATAAACTGCCAAAACAAGGACCTTGAAAACCTAAGCACAGGGAGACCCAGAAACTGTGTTCAATGACAAAGTTGTACAGAGAATTCACATTCCTTCTTTGGTAAATTTGTTTAGAACATTGTTTCATCAATTTCTTTTTGCCTTGACAGTTTTCATTTGGATCAGAAATCCAATTCCATGCTACACCTGAACTGTAAAGCAAAACCAAAGAACTGCTCCAATTTTCTTTGGGGTCACAATTCTCACACTTTTTTTTTTCTTGCCCAAGATAAATTCTTCACTTTTCCTACTGAAGAATCACATATACAGCTATTCCGAACATAGGATGAAACACTAAGAGAATGGACCCTGTGGCCACCACTTGCTGGAAAGCTCTTAAAAATATAGTGGACAACATGACTGGGAATATGTGGAAGGTGTCTGAGTTAAAGTTTACAGTAACAGTAGAGAAAAGCCATATGAAAATTGGAAGAAGGTATTAGAAACCAAACAATAGCATGCATCATACTGACTACTTAATGCGGAAAAAACGTGCGTGTTTAATCACGATTCTGTGTATAGCTTCATGAGCAAAATTTCAGCTCCATTGAAATCAGTGACAAAAGCTGAAATTTTAAGGAAGTGCATCCCATCTTTCAAACATTTCAGGGGTTTAAGGCATTAAAATATTATAATAAGAATCAGCAAAAGTCTATGTTCAGGATGTAGCTGAAGAATATATGATTTGAGTATTTCACACGATTTGTGCTACCACAACCATGATGGCAAACTACCTACTTGAATTGGTTCAGCAATAAATCCAGCCACTGTCTTAGGCACTGAAGTGTTGAGAGTATCTTTGAACTGTTCAATGTACTGGTCTTTTGCATGACATGCACCTGTTTACAGGGAAAACAGTTTAAGGGGAATTTATTTAATATGATACAAAACTAGCTTCAAAACATGAAATTACACATCTAAGCAACAAGTATTTTCTGACTACATGGTAAATATCACTTCTCAAATACACTGTAAAACATTAAAGGAGAGTGCCCCTTCTTTTCTTTACAACCATGCATACTCTAAGGAATGCCAGTTCCGAAACATCAAGGCAAAGCTGACAGACAATAACACAGGTCAGTATCACCTTCATCAGCAGAAGAGATAAGCAGACATTTTCTCAGGGGTTAGTACACTTCAGCATAAGACACAAAGAGTCCTTAGGTTAGTGCAGGTACAAGAATTCTGGAGAATACAGCTGCATATCAGTCTACACTGAAATAAAGAACAAAGCAATTAGTATAAGCAATGCTCCTGGGAGGGCAGAACTAAAAAGAAAACATTCTGTTACATATGCCTGTGAATTAAATTACTGAAGAGTGCTTTCTGGAAAAGTGGATAAAAATTATTGTAATTATTGTTAACAGCAGAGTAGTAGAGGAGCTTTCACACTGTGTTGTGTGTGGAATGTTTTCCCCAGATAAAACTTTTGCCTATCACTGGCTCCAGGTTGTCACTAGTATTTGCCTTATTCCAAAAGCTGGAAAGCTGTGAAAACTTCAGAAAACACCATCAACACTTCTGTTCTTCCAGATATGTTAATCTGAGTTCCAGAGCTGATCATGACAAATACTGGAAACAAAGGCTGGGATTTCAAGAAATCTGAGAATGAGGCATCACCTATCACCTGCCTCAAATTTTTCTCATTGGGAAGCAGAGTCCTAAGATTCTCTGCAATATTTTCTTTGCTTGCCCTTGCAAATCCTAATCAGACGTCGACCTTTCTTGAGGAGGTAACCATAACCTATTTTCACAGCTCTCTAGTATTCTCCAAAAAGCCAAAAGCTTTTTGTCATTTACCAACCTTCAGGACAGCTGCATTTTCGAACAGTTTGCACTGGAGAATCTCTACAATGGCTGCCTCCCCACGGACCACGAAAAACATCCGGTAACATTGTCTGTCAAGCATAAGAGAAATAGCTACAGCTTTGATGACACCTTTCTAAGAGGTCTTTTGATCTAATGACTAAGGACGAAAGAAAGAAGATCTGGGAATAACACCAAACTTCCCCCTCACAAAATGGTGGAAAAGAGACAGTTTTGGAACCAACAAGTTTAGACTATTCCAGCAACACTCAATTGATTTTTTTCATTGTTTTGTTCTTTAAATAAGTCAGCCTATTTGCTATCTAAGATTATTGCCAACATTTTAAGAGTTGCTGGTAGTATTTCTATTATTTGAGGTATGAAAAAAATCGGCAAAACAGAGGTAGGCAGGCAGACCTAGCAGAGTGAACTCCAGCTTTCTAATCCTTGCTGCTGATGAAATACCACATGACTTGAGGCAACTCACTGAGACAGGCTGGGAACCTGCTATAAATGAGCCTTCCTATAATCAATACTGTGGCTGAGCTATCACCAGTACAGACTGGAGTTCCAGTGTCAGCTTCTAGACAGAAGGTTACTTCTATCTGCTCAAGGGCAGGGAGATAAAGTATTGCCATTTAACCCCAAAGGATCTACTTAACAGATATGTCTCCTGTCTTGCTGAAATAGGGTTTCTTTTCATTACAAGGAAGGATCTGCTTCAGACCATTTAAAAGCAGCTTTGCACAGAGCTGCCAAAACAAACAAGAAAAGGTGCTCTGATCATTACTATTTCACTCCTTACCTACACTTCCATTCAAGCACCAAGTGTGAAACTGCAAATCATGATCCCTCATGTTATGGCTGTCCCAACTCCAAATTAGCCTAAGTAACTACACAGAGAAGAAACGGGGACTCTGCTTCCTGTTGACCTTACACAGCAGAAACAGCTACACTGCAGTTTAATCAGTGACCATAAAGCACTTGAGGGCAGAAAATATACTAATTGTTGAAATATTTAAATAAACTGTTAGTTACCCAGATTATTTAAAACAAACAAACAAATAGATAAATAGATAAATAAATAGATCTCACTGTTGTACAGCCAAAGCCATTGGCAACACCATGCTTATAAGAACCAACAGATGTCAAACCCAGTGTGTAAGGGCTGCCTCCGTGGTAGGCTCCTCTGTTCAAATAAAGCAGATGAACATTATTCATTTCCAAGAAGAGTCTAAAGCAATAGTAATTCTGAGAAGGCATGCTTCTGAGCTACAAATTATGGTCAAAAATGTGCATTGTTGCACTCAAAACAAGAAGATTTCTACTGCCGTTTTTTGCTCTGGTTTTCGAAGATCCATGATTGCCCAACTGCAGTGGCTTCCTGCAATTTCAAATGTTAAAACTGTGAGGCAATGTTTGCAAGGAGAAGAGAACAATGATTGTAAGCAACAGCAATTCAGACAGTGTCTCAGCAAGTCCTGCTGTAGCACCTGAGCCCTGCAGAGCAAACATCTCTGTCCTTTGAATCTTGGAAACCACTGCTCTCTCCAACAGATGCCGCCAATCATTAAATCACATGGTGGTTTGCTGTCAGTTTTATACACAAATCAGAAGTTCATTAATGAGAATATACAAGAGAGGGGAGGTACCCAACGCTAACAAACACAATAACAGAAAAATACAACTCTTCATAACATAGCCCGCTACTTTAAAGTTTGAGGCTCCCTATGATACACAGCAAAGAAAACTGTTTACACTGGTGCTTACATTATACTGGTGCTCACTCCTGCACCACCTCTGCCATTAAGCCAGAAGAGCTGTTTGTGTACCTGTGCAGTGAGCTGTGGTTTAGGGCTCTGGCAGAAAAACAAGGCAACAAACCAAACAAATAAAAAAAAATCCTTTCACCAGTTAAGCTTTCAGTCAGAGCAGTTCCCTGATGAGGTTCACTACTCCACTGTTCAGAGGTACTTCTGCATCCCCACAAAGGGGCACTGCAAAAGTGAAATGAAGTGAGAAAGCAGCAATTGCTGAATCTTGCTCTGGGCCTGAACAAAGGTCCACCAAAGCACACTTTGGACACAGAGACCAGACCATTTTCAAAGTGACATAGGCAAAAATTGCAGGTTGTGTTTTATGGTAAACTAGTCGTACCATACTGTATCGAAACTTCAACTTCCTTCAACTTCAGCTCTTTGTCAGATAAAATACTTTTATAGCATTCTTCCCTGCAGACCTGAGGGTTAAAGAGTTCCCTACTATTTCCTGATTTAGGCACGTAGAGACTGATCACACACACAAAGGAGTTTTGTAGAGATCTATCAGCATTACCTGAGAGAGATGATGTCGAAGTTACGGGTGTGTAGCCTTGCCATGAACATGGCTAAATCATTGGCCTCCGACCCGCTGTTGGTCAGATAAACCACCTGTGGGAGATTGCTTAGGATCAGTACAGCACACAGTCTTGTTAGGCATCAGATCACGTCACTTTGTAACCTGATGAGCTAAAACCCATCACTGCCACAGGGGGTGAATTCACCACCGTGAACTTAGTGTCACCCTTACACTGTAGATGAGAACTAAGATCAAAGTGATGTGCTCATGAAGAGTACAGAAAAGTCTGAAAGAGTTCCAGTTTACAGATTTTCCTAAGATGGAATATTGACGAGTTTCACTTTACAGGTTTTCTTAAGATGGAATACTGATGGAAAGAAACTAATGCCTTTGGTCCAACTAAACATGATAATTTTAATTTTTTTTGAACTCTCCTTCACTCTTTAAAATTGCAATAGCTTCATACTCTTTTGCTAGACAAGTTTCATTTTATCACCAGTTTATTTTATCTGAAAACAAAAATTATTTTTCTTACTGTTTCTCTCCGTATGAAATGTGACATTTTTGTGGTTTATTTAAATGTCAGCAAAGCTCACTATACAAAATACTGTAAAATACTTTTCACTGTGAATTTTCATAAGATCAAGCAAATTAAGGTTGGCTGCATGTAAGAATAGTTAACATCTTCTTAGTTTCTTCAGTAATTTTTAAGCTGGCAATGCCCCTTCACAGTGATGAAGGGAGGGAGAAAACAAACCGAACAGGAGCTTGGGATATTATACTTGTCTACATTAGGGTCTAAAGAAAAGGTCTTGAGGGTCATCACGCTCCTTATCTGACAGTCCCCATAAAGGTTTTCTCTCTACGGTTGTCACGGCTCTCATTTATTTAAGAAATATTTCTCATAAACAGGCACCCACTTCACCAGCCCCTGCTCCTGTCAGAAGCAAAGTACCTTCAGTGGATCTGGAAAAAGGGAAGTCAGCTTTTCAGCATACTCGTGGATTGATGGGTGCATGTAGATATTAGTGGTGTGCCACAGGCGAGCAAGCTGTTTCTGGGTAGCCATAGTTACCTTCCTGCATGCAGCACAAGACAAAGGAATTCAATTCCACACACATTCCACACTCATACATGCACATACCTATGTGTTATTAATTCTGCAAATGCTGCATCATTTGCCAGATGGATGAACAAGCAGACCAAATTAATGAATTCTTCAAAACATAGCAGAAGTCAAGCTTAATGTAAGTGATACATGAAATTCAGTAAATTATGTTCTGGTTTTAGTCTCACAGATTAATGAGGAACAAAACCAACATGGTTATCTCTTCCTGTGTTTTATACCATAAATCAAAAAGCAACACACTTACGGGTGACAGTGACCAACACTGACTGTGACAATTCCAGCGAAGAGATCAAGGTATCTTCGTCCTTCATAATCAAACAACCACTGCATATGCCCTTGATGCAGCAACAATGGCTTCTTGTAATACGTTCGCAGTGAAGGAGCAATATTATGTTCCCGAATCTTCCGCATACGTTCATATGGATAGGACTGAGTGGAATAGAAAAGTCAATACCCATTTATGCTTTCTAAAGATCCAGACTGATGGAATTGTAGTGGAACACATGGATTACAGCTCTCTACAGCTGTTGTTAACAGAACTAAGATTTTAACAAATTCTGGCACATAGAAGGTTCTGCAAACCTTTGAAACTCAGCTTTTGAAGGAAGACTGCAGTTCTGCACACTCTCTTACAGGTTTTCAAATGAACAATGTAGTACAGATTTGTCACACAGGTACACCTACAGGTTACAGTCAGGTTATATCCTGGTTGTAATACTTCAGTTTTACCCAAAGAAGCAAATTTTATAATCATATTTATAGCACATGAGCCTATCACTCAAACACAGTAATACAGTTTTATTTAAATTTAGTCCAGTATGCATGACTTACTTTGTATTTTTCAGGTACAAAATCACAAGGAGGCATTTTTGCTTGAGTGGAGACAGAACTTTTCCATTTCTGTTGCCTGAAGAGAACTACAAAATAATAGAATTATCAAACACTTAGCAAAGCGCACATCTGAAAGAGTGTCTCAATGAGCTTGTTCAGAGAACACACAAACTACAGTGAAAGCAAGTTTTGGAGTGTTTTTTTGTCTGAGAAATTTTCTTTGGGGAAAAATAAGTAACATCTTTGTAAGGGCAAAATCTATGTTGATTAAAAAAAGAAAAGGTCACTTTTTCCTAATCCACTAAAACTCAGTTTTCAGTTTCACATGGACTTTTATTTTGACAGAAGAAGATTTAAAAACATATTTCTAGTACAAATTCTTATCCGGAAGCAGTGAGAACAAGCATTGTCTGCAATGGTATAAGACAGGAGCCCAGGGTGACTGCAGCACAGGCAGTGCCCTCAGGGACCAGGGCACAGGCCCAACAGATCTGAACAAGGAGAGCAAAGCAGGGTTCACAGAGAATGCCCCGCACAAGCAGACTTGAATCAGGTCCAGAGTCCACCGAGGGCACCCAGTCAGGAGCAGCAGCAGATGGGGCCAGAGATAGGGCTGGCGACAAGGCCACACCATAAGTCCAAGGTTCATCCAGGAGACAGAGGCAAGAGTGGGACTGGTGGTAAGGCTACTGCTCATGGTACAGCTGAAGCAGGGGGCTGAAAGTGCAGGGCTGAGCTGAAAGAGGGCTCATGGGCAGTGAGTACGGGCAGAGGCCCTGACTGAGGCTGATCAGGGCAGCCCAGGTGTGCTGACAACTGACAACTCCCACTGCCACCTTCCATTCCCTCTCCAGAATCCTGGGAACATCACATGTCCTGCCTCTCATTTAACTGCAAGTGCAATTTAGCAGGTATCACAAAGAGATACCTGATTGCCCAGAGAGGTCCTGGAGTCTCACTCACTGGGGATATTTAAGAACTGTCTCAATTCTGATCCATTCTGTGATTATGTGCTTCTGTGAACAGTTATTTAAACTTTCTGCACCCCAAACACTACACATTTGTTTCTATAAGCCTGATATAAATTACATACACTGTCAATCCTCTTACAACCACTTAGAGCACTAATGAATTAATCATCCGCAAGATCCAATCTCAAAAAAATCACCTGAAATCCCACCAGTTAGGGAATCATAGAATCATAGAATAGATTGGGTTGGAAAAGACCTCCAAGATCATCAAGTCCAACCCCTGATCCAACTCCAATTACTATATCATGGCACTAAGGGCCACATCCAGTCTTGTCTTAAAAACCTCCAGGGATGGTGAATCCACCACCTCTCTGGGCAGGCCGTTCCAATGCCTGATTACCCTCTCTGTAAAGAATTTCTTCCTAACATCTAACCTAAACCTCCCCTGGCAGAGCTTGAGCCCATGTCCCCTTGTCCTATTGTTGGTTGTCTGGAAGTTCTGCCCTTGGAACTCTTCCTACAGCTACACCGAACGGGCTTCCCCCCGCCCGCCCCCGCGTCCAGACAGGGTGTCCGTGACACCGAACGCAAACCCGCACAGAGCGGGGTCCCGAATCGCCAGCAGACCCGTCGCATCGATCCCCCACCGCGACTCCTCGGCTCTCCTCGGCCCGCTTAGGAAGGGCTCAGGCAGCCGTGTCCCCCCGTCCCGTCCTGTCCCGCCCCGCCGGCCCCTCACCGCTGCCCAGCGAGCCCGGCCGCCGCGCCATGTCCGCCCTCAGTGGGCCGCGGCACCGCCCCCACACGAGCCCGGGAGCGCCGCGGACACACCGCGCTGGGCCCCGCTGGCACCCCGGGCTGTCCTCTGGTGTCACCCTGTGCTGTGCCCTGGTGTCATCCTGTGCTGTGCCCTGGTGTCCTCTAGTGCCATCTCGTGCTGTGCCCCGCTGCCATCCCGGGCTGTGCCCTGGTGTCGTTCCATGCTGTCCCCCTGGTGTAATCGCATGCTGTGGCTTCAGTGTCATCCCGTGGCCTCCCATCCTCCTAAGCCGTTTTCTGCCATGAAACTCTGACTTCTGGTCAAAGCTTGACTCCTTCAGGTTGGAGAGATGGGCAGACAAGAACAATTTGAAGTTCAGCGAGGGTAAATGCTGGGTCCTGAACCTGAGGAGGAATAACCCCAAGCACCAGACAGGCTGGGGGCCAACCTGCTGGAAAGCAACTCTGTGGATGAGTTTAACTCTGCCCCACACAAAATCCTGGTGGAAAACAAGCTATCCCTGAGCCAGCAGTGTGTTCCTGCGGCCAAGAGGGCCAATGGAGTTGTGAGGTGCATTAGGAAGAGCACTGCCAGCAGGTCAAGGGAGTTGATCCTGCCCCTGTACTCAGCCCTGGTGAGGACACATTTGGAGTGCTGTGTCCAGCTCTGGGCTCCTCAGTACAAGAGAGACATGGAGGTCCTGGAGAAGGTGCAGCATAGAGGTTCAAAGATCACTAAGAGACTGAAGCACCTCTTCTATGAAGAAAGGCTGAGGGAACTGGACCAGTTTAGCCTTGAGATAACTGAGAGGGAACCGAACTCATCTATGTCTATCAGTATCTAAAGGGAGGGTGTCAGAGGACAGAGCTAGGCTCTGGTCAGTGATGCCAAGCAATAGAAAAAGAGGCAATGGGCAGAAACTGATTCCTCTATTACCTTCCGGCAATGGAGGTGGTTTAACCCCAGCCATCAACCTAGACCTAAGCAGCTGCTCACTTGCTTCCCTACCAGTGGGACTGGGGAGAGAATTGGAAGGGTAAAAGCTAGAAAACTCATGGTTTGAGATAAAGATGGTTTAATAGGGAAAGAAAAGGCCACACACACAAAGAAAGCAAATCAAGGAATTAATTCACTGTTTCCTATGGGCAGGCAGGTGTTCAGCCATCATCAGGAGGGCAGGGCCCCATCATGCATAATGGTTACTTGGGAAGACAAACTCCATCACTCCAAATGTCACCTCTTTAGTCAGTATTTTACATACTGAGCATGATACCATACGGTATGGAAGATCCCTTTTGTCAGCAGGGATCACCTTTTGCAGCTGAGTCTTCTCCCATCCTTTCATGCACCCCCGACTTCCTTGCCAGCATGGCAGTATGAAACGCAGAAGAGACCTTGGCTCTATGTAAGCCCTTCTCAAGAATAACAAAAGCCCCATACCAGCCACTCTGAAGAAAATTAACTCTGCCCCATTCAAAATCCTCGTAATACTAAAAGAACTAATGCTCGACGTGGGTTTCCTAGAATGGCAAGTGGCATACACTGTAACTAGGTACAGTTGCCAGTGAAGGTATTTCACAGGTTTTGGTGACCTTGGTTGCTCCTAAGGCAGAAACTTGATGACACCTACCCTGAAGGGCAGCCTTTTTGCAGGAAAACTGCGCGATGTTGTTGCAATGCATCAGATTTGTACCTTCTACTAACCAGGGCAGCGCCTACATACCTTAGGATGCCCGACTGCTCAGCCTTTCCCAATCAAATTTTACTTTCACTAAGTTGAAATCCCTTAATTTCAGTGATAATTGTCACGAATACAAGAGCCATAAAGAAGCATAAACGTTGTGACCTGGTGGGTGAACTATCTGTGTTAACTGGTTCAATTGCTGAATGCCTGCAAAGTAGGTTAAACATATCTGTCAGCAGGTTCCCATCCTACAGACTATGTTGGATGTCTCGCTTTTCCCTTTCCTTTCTATGTATTATATACTGGAATTGTTACATATTGTGACAAAAGGTAGAATGTGTGAAATTTATTCAAGAATTTTTATTAAATTGAAATGCAAACACCATTGCAAAGAGGTTTTACAATGACAAAAGATTGAAAATTCCATCAGAAAGCTACAGACTTCAGAACAATATTGATCTTACAAGTGAAAACACTAACAGATTTTAATAAAGCCAGCATTTTCAATATTACAAAAATGCGTTTTAAAGCATTTTCCTTCAGATTCACTTAGAAACAATGAAGAATTCCTGAGAAACTATTTTTATACCAGTATTCTCCAACCAATGTACATACTACATATGAAATCTAATTCTTACAATTTCTTATATTTTAGAAATTTACTAAAAATTTGGATCCAGTTCACAGAATAATTGTGCTTAAAGTCATTCTGTTGCTACAGTAATGACACTGCGATAACACTGATGTTCCAGATTGCATATAGATTCTTTAATTTTAGTGGGAAAAATGCCTAGCTTGTATTGCAAGGCTACCAATGAAATGGTTTATGCAAAATGAAACACGTTGGCTTTAAATATTGGATCATGCCTTTCTCCACTGAAAATATATTGTTTACTCTGTGTATTATTCAGAAGATGCAATTTATGTTTCTTTGAGAGACTGCTGGCACATTAAAGGCAAGGAAGTTCCAGAGACTTTTCCCTTCACTTAACAGGGCAGTAGAAATTTGAAAAAAATATGATTAATTAATGAGTGCTAACATATTTTTTCTGGGCTGTACTTTTTCATATCAGTGCCCTCAGTATTGCAATATTTTACACAATGACTATAAAATATACAAAGCACAATATAAAGGTTTCAGAAGCTGAGATAGTGCTGAGTATTTCTGAGCAATATAATGCATATATGGAATTGATGGTTGTGTTATTTCAGATGGTGAATGGTATTGGTAGTCAGAATTAAAAAATTTACTTTCCAAGATGAAAAATAAACACTAAAGCTCTTTCTAATTATACTGAGCAGTAGTTTCCTCTTCCTTTTGGAATGAAGGACACATAGATGAAAATTAAGAGTAGTCTACAGTATTATGAATTTTAAAAAATCGGTTCTGACATCATAATATTTCTGCCTGTAGAAAAATATGCCTCTTCCCAGACATATATAGTTTTCTGTCCTTTTGAAGGAGTATTTTCTACATGTGACTTGTACAAAGATTTCCAGCATCCTGTAAAAATTCCACTCAGTACTACATGTCTCCAAAACTGACCATTGCAGGAACTGAACTGAAATCTTTCAATTTTTACTGATGTCAAAATGAGGTGAAGGTACTCAGCAGCTCATAAAAATAGACCCAAAAGCAGCATTATCCAAAATAAAGTTAAATAAAGACAAGATACAAGACAAGCAGCATCACAAAGTAGAAAAGGACATTAAATCTTCCAAAAATAAAAGAGGAATATATAAAAAGAGACTTTCTCTTATCTAACTGCTCTATACATCAATATCTTGAGTATAAGATCAGCTTTTAGCATATTAGCACTGTAAGAGGCCACACAACTAATTTAAGTATTTTTCATTACTTTCAACAGATATAATAGTGTCTCTTAAAATCTTAACTTAAACTGAAGAGATGTATTTTAAGCCTCTCTTGGTAATCTTCAGAATTTACCACCAAGACAGGGACTTTCTGATTAAGGAAAATATTAACAGATACATTGTCCCAGGTACAAACTAAAACAATGCCCAGAAATGCCAAGAGACTGTTTTAATATCCCCAAAGTATTTTTTCTCTTGGAGCTTCTAGGTCTTTGTATTATCTTTAATGAATTAAACCAGAAAATGTTTAAGAATGGTTGGCATATGTGTGGGACAAAGGAAATGAATAAATACACCTAATCTGTATATCTGTTTGAAAAACTCAAGGTTGCTTTTAAAAGCAGTGTGGTACACTTTATTTCTCTAGAGTTTTTTTCCTTAGGAATGTAGGAAATACAACAGCACATCCGATGCAGAGTCTAGCTCTTCAAGTATTGTTTTTGACTGGGACCAATATCAGATATGTGGAAGAAAACCCTGTAACTGATAGAAAGTGAATGACAACTTCTCATGTATAGGACTTTTTCCTTTGTATGTAATAGCTGATCCATAGTAGCTGATTCCAATATTTTGTCAGCTCCTTAGCATTTAATAAGGCTTTACTACTTTTGTGGACTATATTAGGTAGCTGTGCCTATTCCCACTTTTGATATAGATATATTTTCTTCTCTTTTTTTTTCCTCAGTAACTCATTTATCACTCCTCTCAGCTATACTAGTTCTCATTTTTTCCTGTCTACTCTTACATTTGATTCTTTTACTTCCATCTTCTGTTCTCCCTCCTTCTCTTCCCAGTAGTAGTCAAAATGCATTTTTTCCCTCATCATCTACTGATGTACTGTGCTATGGTGACTGTACTTCTTTTCTCATTCTGCCACATACAGCAACTTTGTCCCTCTTCTTGTCATTCAGTGATGGACTTGGCAGTGCTGGGTCAACATTTGGGCTCTGTGACCATACAGGTCTTTTCCAACCTAATAATTCTATGCTTCTATGATAATTAAGCTCTTTATATCCCCATATATTATGTATTTATGTATCCACTTATCTTTATTTTCCTGCTTGACATACACAGGAAAGATGAAGAAATTCCCTGATTTGTTTCAAAATAATTTTCAAGGCAGGATCACAAAGTTTGTTCAAATTATAATTCAGTCCATCTTTCCACACCCAAGGGAAATGGAGTCTGAATTTAGTATGAGGGTTTGAGACAGTTAAGAGGAGGGCTCTCCATTTTTGCTCATTTAGAGACAGAAAACATTTACTTGCTAGGAACTCAGTTGAAAACAGGTATTTCTAAACAGCAAGTATTGATAAATGCTTAGATTCAGAATGAGGGCATCTTGGGAAATTTGGCTCCTTCAGCCCTAGCAACGTGGCACCTCAGGCAGGTCAGGAAAGGGATTGATGTTTGACTGCCAAGCTGGGAATCATGGCTTTTCCTACAAGATGGAATTTTCAGTGTGTTTTTTCATATTAAAAACATTTAATTTTGCCACACATCTCAAATATCCCATCCTCATACTACCAGTGCAAAACAAGCGAGGATTCCATGACAAGCTGTTTGTTAACAAAAATAATTTGGATTTAAAAATAAGTTTTTTTAAATCTTGATAGACTGATTCACTATTTTATACACAAAGCAAAATGGTTTTGCCTGCCTTTTAAAGGGAGAAAAAAAACCATCTGAGGTAGCAATTTTTTGAGAATATGATGCCGGATCTCATGACACTCTTTTCATTCATTTGTCTTTATGGCTTTGCAGAAGATGTCTGATATCTATAAACTGGCTTAAGTGACTTCAGTTTCCTTGCACAACACCTTCAAATCGTTTTCAATTACTGTAAAATTATGAAATACACTTACAGGTTTCATGAGGTGAACCCCACACATACAATGCTTCAGTGAACACAAAAAAATTCTGCTTATTCATTTTGAACACCTGCTGCTATGACACTTTAAAATACTTAAATGACATTTAAAGCAACTGTCTATTTTTCAGCCATTTAAACATAGACACGTAGACAGATATACTACGAAATTCACTGCTTCAACATAAATCATCATTACATATTTGTGTTACAGTTTGTTCCATAAACACATATATCCTCTTACTCATATTATATAAGGTCAGTTTACTGCACTTTTATGAAATAATCTTTGTAGTTACATGGTGTTATCAAGACCATTCCTCAAGTCTGCACTGTATGTGACAGTGAGCCTTGTGAGCACATGCACCAATTCAATAACATGTATTTCTTTAAAAGTCTGGAATACAACACTTAGATACTAAAATAGTACATCAAATACGTCTTTGCTAAAAAAAAAGTCTAATTAGAAAATGTATGATAATGAATCATATTTGTCAGTACTGAAAAAAGTTAATAAAATTAGTCTGAGTCAAAAGGAAAGATAATTAATTAAAATACATATTCAATTTTATGAGTTCTATAAAATTATTTATGTTGAATAGTCTTTATTTTTTCTTTTAGGGATTTTATGCTATTACAAAGTAATTCATACTATAAATGACACATGCATAGCTTTGACATTGAAAACATCATTCTCACTCTTGAAATAATTACTGAAAGTGAGGAATTTGACTTATGGTGCAAGAGCTAGTGAGCTAGTCACTGTTTCTGGGGTAAATTCTGTTCTATACTTCATCCCTCTGGATATCAGAGGAGGTGTCAAAAGCCTGTTATTCCCCACTGGTGTGTCATATTTTTACACCAATTGACTGTGTACAACTGCTGCAAAAGCTCATCTATTTCCTAATAAAAAGCTTAAAGAACTGCAAGCAAAAATATTGTCACAAACAGAAAATTAAGTATTTGAACATTCAAAGGACCAAACACTTAGCTGAAGGTTATTCTGATTTCACAGAACAGTAGTTTACTATTTTTTCCATATACTTTCAGATGTTAAAGGTCACTTTCAGAAGGTGTTGCTCCGCCCTTGGGAGTAACAAGGTATTTTGGAAAACATAAGCAAATCCAAGGAAAAAATAATCAGTCTGCACATTTGTCCATCTTAAAGAATGAAATATATTTATAAAAACTGTGTTTAGATTATATCTAGATAGCAAATCCCTCAAAACTTCATGGAGTGAGTAAATGTCCCCCTTTTCCACTCTGGCTGAATTTACCTTTTCACTGAGAGCCATGATGATTCGGCATATTGAGACATTCATCAGCAAAGGTGGAAGAGAATCAACACTACATGATGTTGTGTAGGCTACAGCTATTTTGCAGTTTCAGTGCTAATTTATGACAAAAATAGAAACTCTTCGACCCTCTCTCTCTGTGAATTACTGGAGGCCCACATGCTTATGGGATGAATCATACACTTAAAATCTGCTGAAAGGCGTGCCTGTTTGACTAAGGTACAAAGTAACTGCTACCACAGCAACAGTCTGCTGCTGTCGGAGGTCATGCAGTCAATTGTGCTTAAATCTATGAAATCCACTATATGAGCAACATCTTTAGGCTGTGGCTTGGTAAAATTCTATAGCCTTCTGTGCATCACTAGATACATCCCAGAAGGCCTGCGGCAGCACGTCTTTATGCACAGCATTAGGTGTAGGAAACAACACAGATATGACTATTTGTGTAAAGAACGAGAATAGCTAGGTCCGGATTAGCTCTGTCAGATTCAGTCAGAAAACTGAAGTGTAAATTAAACACTGTCAGACATAGTGCATAACCAGCTTACATATTTGCACACAGACAAGTTGCTGTCCTGCAAAACATTCCATTTTTTCCTGATAACTCAATAGTTTCTTTGCAGTACTTTTAGCATCTGTAGAAATTTGTAAGATATACTATGAAAAGTATATCTACAGTAAAATTATTCTGTTAACCATAACTAAACAAAGTTTTATGTCTGGCTGCTCTCTGGAGTAGTCATTTAATGCCTTCAAGTGTTAAATAAGTGGATGTATTAAGAATGAAAGATACCTCCCCACACGCTCATCAGAGCAGCCAGACTGCACTGATAAGCCTCTGGAAATTGGCAGTACATTGCCTGTATAGAGGACTTAGGCTCCAAATCTGATGCCTAAAGTAAATGTTACAGTCCACACTACCACATACATTTACAGACACACAAATAATCAGTTAAATTCCTAAGTCCTGCCTGTGGAAAGGCTAGACAGCTTGACTAATCTGAACTTGAGCAGTTCCATGGCAAGGGAGAATCCGATACGTCAAATTAGATGTGGCCTTCTGGGACCCTCAAAATCTGAAATTCTCTTTTGTCTGGCTCTGCAGCAGGTACCTCATACTGCAGGAAGGCTGGCTCAGTGCATAAAATCATGAAAGTATGTAGAAATGTAGAACTGTTCAGGAAGGAGAAGAACAAAAGAGAGCCCATTTATCAAATACACTTTCCTTCACAGGTACAGAACCATTCCCTTACCTTATGTTTCCAATTTCCCCTGAAGCTAGTGAGACTGGCTAAATATTTGGTCCAGTTTTAATCAGTCATCACTTGGCTGTACTTTTCTGGAGTAAATTAAACTTTCATTTCAAGAAAGAAGGACTACAGTAAGATCAAAGCCATTACAGTATAATTTTGATTCTGTCTTCAGTTACTTGGGATACGATGGATCCTTACTGTTCTCACTGCTGTTCTGGGTACATCTGTCCAGCCCTACTACATTTTCCTTTTTCTCATTGCTATTTCAGCAGAGCTACGACTCAGACTTTATGCCTCTTATCTTAGAGGCTGGTTTCCAAAACTAATGTTCATAAATTCATTATGAAAAATCTGACTTCAAACTTTCCCTCCAGACTCAGAGAAAAGTACAATGACTAAGGATGCAGGAGAAGACCATTCAATTCACTATTGGCATTAGACTACAAATTCAAAGGGAAAGAAATTTTGCTCTCAAAATCTAGATTCTGTTTTAATTATATAATTATAGGTGATAAAAAACGTGTGAAAGAAATAATTTACAATTCAAATAGTAATATATCTGTAATATATTAGAAATATAGTTTAAAAATTTCTTCATATTCTTAATTAGTATAAAGTTTAATTTCATGCTTTTTATAGAAATTGTACCTTTACTTGTTACTGCTATTTTAGCAGAAGGAAACAGAAAAGTTCCTAAGTAGCTAAATAACACCGGGAAATTAAAAAATATTTTATTTTGCTCTTTTTTGGTAATAGAAAAATAGCCTTTAAAAATACATTGTTAAACATATGGGCTTATATTAAAGTAGAATTTTATATTATATACAGTAAGGCAGTATATCAAATATTATCCTGCTATTTTTTTCATGTTTGGTTTGATTGGACTAGGATATGAATGGGATGCAAAGTTTTCTATCACATTGAAACAAAGCAAAAATATCTTTAGAAGAATTTGTTATTTTACTGTAATTTGTAGAATATACTCTTTTTATATAAGATTTGTCATATACAGTAACTCCTTTTTTCTCGAGGATTGAGAAAAATAAATAAAGAAAACTTAATCTAGTGTCAGAATGCATTCAGAAGAAAGTACACTGTAGATAACAATACTGTTGTGCAATAATTTATCTAGTGTAGGAACTGCTCCGATCACCATGGTGTGCTGACTGACCCATAGTAATTTTCATCTTTGTTGAACCTGCAGTATTCCCTCAGGCTTACTCAATTAACAGCTTTGCAGAACTGAATAATTATTTTACTATGTATTTTTCATGGCAGACAATATCCATTTCCTCATTTCACTGTGTCAGAAATGTGTGTCAATGCTCCAAGATTAACTTCCATGATTATGACCTCAACCCACTGTCTATTTTATTATCTGCACAAAACACACAGGAGACGGCTTTTGAAGGCTAGGCTTTTTTGAAGAACTGTTTGCTATGTGATTTTGTTTTACTGGACACATATAAGCATGTACTGTGCTAACTGGTTATTTAAAAGAGGGCATAAAGGAAGATGGGTCCATATACTCTGATCCACTGGTCTCTCTTTTGCAGTCACTTGGAGCTGTCAGGCAGTAGCTCATATTTTTCTCAGCTTGACCTTGCTGAAGGTTCTGTGATGTTTCCATTGCAGGTTCTTGAGATACAGGTGTGTGCTGGATGCGTGAATCTGGCATTAATATTAGAATATTATGGTCCACAACTCTTGAGACCTTGGTATATTCTTTGCTGGTTCCAGGAACAGTGTATTTTTCAGTCTTTCCACTATTATCTTTATGTTTCAGTAATACTGTTGGCTCCTCATCTTGTCTGACTTTATGAACTTCTACATAGTCCATTAGTTTAGGATTCAAGAAAGGTGACTTGTCATTATGTCTGTTTTGTTTGACCTGTACTGTACTTTGCTCCGTTTTGGAATTCTCCATCTCTCTTTGCTTTTCCATGTTGTCATGGACAGTTTCAGTGACAGGATACCGTGACTGGTGCTTTTCTTCATTTCCCACCAAAACTGGTGAAATGTTCACATTTGTGGTACTCAGTATTATCTTGTGTGCCTCCACAGTACTGTGGTAGGCAAACATAGGAAGCTGATTATTAGGTGGTAACTGAACTGCAGGCCATGTGGATGACTTTGTACTCTCATTGTTAAAAAGGAGTGTTTTCTGTTCTGAGGCTATACACTTAGTTTCCCAGCTCCTTTTTGCTCCTTTATTTTCTTGATCAGCTCTTATGTCTTGTGTTTGAAGAGTTGATGGAAGGGCACGGGACTCCCTGCACTTCTCAGAGAGCAGAGAAGGGCTATCACAGCTTCCTCGGCCCGAGTCACTGTCTGTTTCTTTGGGTATCATTTTTGTATTTTTACTGGGAGTGTCATGGCTTGGCATGAGTTGCTGATCCTCACTGTCCTCTACCTCCAGATATTCTATCAGTAGTTCCTCACAGTCTGATGTTGGAGGGAAACCATGGCAACCAAGAGCACTCAGTAATTCTTCAGATTTTCCTGTCTAAGGGCATAATAAATAGGATATAATTTTTCATTGTCAACCTTAGGGTTTATCCGACTAGAGCAATTGTGAACAATTTACATTTTTGCTACATAAACACTTCAATAGTTATATCACTAGACATAAACTGGATTTCTACTGCTGCAGAAAACACTGAAAGAAGGGAAGAAAATTTCTTGAGTTCCCTCAGTTGGGAGACACAACCCCACAATTCATGTTTCTAAAATGGGAGGACATGGGAGCTTTTGGTGGGTATGTGTTCTCCTGAGTTTAACAAGAAGGAAATGGAGTAGAATGACAGTGCAGCCATGTCCTGCCACCTCAGCATGGTAAGAACTACTAAGACTTCCATAAGAACTGTTAGGAAGATCACACAGGCATTTCCTCTGGTGTCCCAGGAAAGAGCCATGGTCACAAACCCTGTTCTCATACACTCTCCTACTATAAGTGCAAGGCAAAACTCTGATTCACACATACTCTTCACATGATCAATCTGCGTTACCTATTTTAAACATTGATTAACTGAAGGAATTTCATACTTTACTAGGGTAATTGTGGTTTCTAGTATGTAAGTTGGAAAAGTAAGTAATAGCGAATTCTTTTGTTGTTAGCTGTGGTACTCACCTCTAACAGATGTTTATCTATGCCTTTTATCTTTGGTCCTGGAACTGGTGGTAGGATAAAAGCCATCATTCTGAAAAAAAACACAGAACAAGCACACCAGGTGTAAGTATGGGCCCTATCTCACTATTTGTTATCACATTTCCTCAGAATGTAACTGAGATTTTTAAAGGCTTCTCCCATATCTGATATGTCCCTGTTGGACCTCTGTTTCCTGTCTACCTCTCAAGCCAGGTAATTCACAAATCTACTCTTAGAGGTATTTATAAGAAAAAGAACAGTACAAAGTTATTCAACTGGAAAAGTAACACTGCTAATATCCTTTTATTATCTTTAGTCTCTTAACCTCTTGTTCTCTAATACCACTGTAAATTCATCACTGGCCAAGAAAAAGCAAAATGGGGCACAGTTCAGGAGGACTAGGGGGCCTGTCTGTGCACACTTGACTGTCAGATAACTACTGCTCAACAGGATCTACGGTGAATGACTCAGCTTTTCCAACCACAGTTTCTATCTCTTTCTTTTACTCAGTACTTTTTTGCAAGACTTGCAGAAAAGCAACATCTTTCTCTTTCAAATTTGATTGAAATTAGCCAGCCCTGTAATAAATTACTTGAAGAATTGGCAGAGAGGTGGGCAGAAAAACAATCTCATAATATAACCTTGTTCACTTAAGGAAATTACAGCAAGATCCAAAGGCATATCTTCTACAGAAGCAGGGATACTCCAAGTGATGTTTGCTGAATTATTTACATGGTTAAAGCAAGACTGTCAGATCTAATAGAGACACATCTTAATCAATTTAAAATTTAGCCTGGTTTCCCTAAGGAGCAGAAATATTTCTTTATCAGTGTAACTAATAGTTTGTCAAAGAACACAAATGCTCCAGGAAATTGAGCCAAATATTTAAGTCTGCTTTTGAAAAGTTTTCTGTGATTTTGAACTCCATGCATTTGTGAAATTGGTGACTTACCTGTACCCTTTTAAAATCATTGTCCAGCTCATGATTAAACAAATAAGAGATGACAGGACACCAACAATGATCCACACAACCATATCTTTAACTCTAAAATCTAAGAAACAAACAGAATTATATAAGGACATATGTCTAGTATATGCATAGTCAGCATGCAAAAGAAGTCAGACACAACCTTTATTTTAAACATTGGCCTAAAGTGCCAAATTTGGTATTGAGTTTAGAGGGCTTCACCAGCACATATGGATGTCAACAATCACTGTAATATCTAATAATTAAAACAATTTTTTACTAATGGTACTGCACAGGAAATAAACTGTCTTGGAAAAATTATACAAAAATTTATAGAATAGCCATTTATAGAAATTGGGTTCAAATCCAGTTATATCAAAACCACAGTCATTTCATTACCAAATACATACCATACACTTCATTAAATGGGGGGTTAAATGACCTAGGACTACCTATTTTAAAATATTTTTATTGTTAAAATAACACTTTTTACATTGAAGTATTGATTTCAAATTAATTCCATATAAAGATTAATAAAAGCTGTTACTGTCTGAAGGCAGTCACATTTTCTTGCCTGTGTCACAGTTTGAAAGCAGTTACTAGTGTTCTTTTAATTAAGAACAACCATCATGAGAACAAATGAGGCAATAGACAGAAAGGGCAAAGAAATTTATTCACCTTCTTAACACCATAAAGTAATGAAGGGGAAAGCTAACGGGGTATGGTGCAGGGATGAGAATAATTCAGTTACCTTAGCAACGACGTTCTTGCCTGTCCTACAGAAAATATGGGATCTGCACGGGCGCCACAAACAGCTAGCAAGCAAAAATATAACATGAACTTGTATGTAATAATAATTGCGGAAGAAATGCCTGGCCACTCACCAGTAGGAATCTGAATGTACATTTCTGGGCTCCACTCGCTCCATGATCCGTGGTGGTCTGGTTTGCAGTGAATCTGTACTATGTACCTCTTTCCAGGATTTAAACTAAACATTTTACATTGTGTTTGCTGTCCAACAAAAATAGTCTGGAAATTAAACAAAAATCACAGCTAAGGTTTTGGTAACCAGGATAGGAAAATAGAATGAGTCTGAATAGCATTTCCGAATAATTATTAAGCAGGTATGGAATAATGGCACATTTATTTTATTTATCTAATTTAGCTTTCTAACATCAGTGGGAATGAGATCTGGCTTTGTTATACAGTGCAAATTAAACTACTATAAAAACACATCATGTGCATATGGCACATAGGGAGAAACTGTGGTAATGGTGGGAACTGCAATGGTGAGAGCAAAGAGAAGCAGGCAAGAAACAGATGGGGGAAGAAAATGCAGAGAGAAAGAGCGAATGCAGAGTTGGCAGAAATTCACAGGGTAGTAAAAAGCAGGTCTTTCAACGGCCAGGGGGTTGGGAAGTGCTGTGGGAGGGGGAAGGAAGGAGAAGATGCAGAGATGGTTTGGAAGTATTGCAGACAAGAAGAGGACGCAGTCAAATACCAATAGCTGGAGTCTTTCATTTGCTACTCAGTTGTCTGAGTTGCAGATTCTGGCTATAGACAATTATTATTATGTGGCCATTTAAACAACCACCTAACGGCCATTTATATAAATTTAAATTATTTTACATAATGTCACTGAACTTTCTATCACCTAAGAAGTGCTCATGGCAAAGAACAAATTATCACAAGAGAAACCTGACTAAATGAGAATGAACAATTTAAACTGTCATGCCAATATGATTAATATAAAATGACCACAATTAAAACCAAGTACTTTATCACCTGCTATCATACAATAACATATAAAATACCAGTGTTCTCAGTAGGAAATCATACAAGTATTTTTGAAAAATTATGAACTATTCAGTACCCCTGCTTCATTACATTCATGCATGGAACCTAGCTGAAAATATCTAATTGCTCAGAAAACATTATCTAGCAAAAGCTTGCAACATCCTTACCTCCCATTCCTCTCCTTCTTCAGGCTTTAGTCGCAATTCATATTCAAGAGTAAGCCATCCAGATCTGACATCAGCTAGTGGAGGTGGAGACCATGTCAGGACCAGATATGGTTTTCTATTTACTGACTTTTTTAATTCCAGAGTTATATTCACAGGAGGATCTGGCTGTACTGTTAAAATAAAGAACTGTCAAAAAGAGTTTTAATTATTTTTTCCTTGCATTCTAGGAAGAAATATAAAATTATGTGAGTGAAGAGTCATCACCTTCATTGTGTCCAGTAATCTAGAACTGATGCTGGAATACAGAAATCAAGAGTTCCCAGGTAAAGTAAGTATGGATTTTTTGAATTTAAAAAAAAAACCCTGAAGACTGGTAAATATGTTGAATGCATGTTGAAATTTGCTTTAATCACTAATCAGCAAAAATTTTTTTTTTCTTACGTTAGCAATTATTGTTGCTTTTCCCAGCAGCTATGTTTCAAAGTTAACATCTTTAATGCTGTGTTATGGAAGATGTGTTTTATGACACCCTTATCAAGGTTTGGTATAAATATTGAGAAATGCTGAAAACACAAATGCAGCTGACGAAATTTGTCCCCTACATCTTTTACATTCAGAATACACAACAGCGTAATCCCAAATGCATATATAAGGTATTCAAAAGTAAACCAAAACAGCAATAATAAAGTTCTGTCTTTATCTCAAAAATAAACCAAAATGAAAAAAAGGTTTCTGCTCAGACAGGTTTGCAGCTTCCTCAGTTCAAAGGTAGAGCTTCTGCATATATTGTGAGTGTATTTTACCACTGTCTTATGCAAAGCTTCATCAAGCAAGAAGCCATGGCATAGAGATAAAATACAAGGCCTCTTCTTCAGCATGCCTTTTCCAGTTGCCAGACTCCTGGCAGCCAGATCCTTGGCAACAAAATGGTTATCAATGATAATGTTCCACTTCCTTAGAAAAAAACCCCAAATACTCATCCACAGTCGTTCTGCGGAAAGTCTGAGAGAGAGATTATCAATACACTGCTATAAAAACCACTAATGCAGCTCCTCTTGGGCCTGGAAACTACTTTTATGTAATCAAATTTAAGTAATATTTGTTAAAAGATCAATTTGATTTCAGTTGCTTGTACAGTGGAAAAAAGATTTTAGCTGGATGATGTTTCTTAGGATTTGACTGAAAGAAATACAGAAAAACAATAAATAGTTATCTGAACATAGTTTTAAAGCTTTTAGTATTTTTATGTTTCCATTGAAAATAAAATGGTAGAGGGATGAATATTGATTTCTTATTATAATAGAGAAGATCTTATCTGTGTAAGTTTTTAACATGGACATATTACCATATAGGAGAAGAGCTGGAATTAAAATTCTTGTGCCAAAACCTATGATTCTGAATTATTTGCTTCCGCAGAAAATACTTTTTAACTCTTACCTATGTAAGTCACATCCACGTAATGAGGATCAGAGACATTACTTCCCATTTCATTAGTTGCCCTCACAGTAATATTGTATATGGTCCAGAAAGAGGTGTGCTTTTTATCAAAGTAACATGAATTGGGGCCTGCAGTTTTGTAATCTGGACATTCATAAACTTTTTCTTCTCTGAAATGAAAGAATCACAGTGATTAGGTTACAAAGACTAAACCACCTGACTTTGATTACCGGTATGCTAGCATTATTGACCTGATTTTTCATACCTGGCAACGTGATGAAAATCAGAAAATGTCTTCCAGACTAAATAGTCACTGGACAATTCCAGAGATTGTAGTAAGCATTTCCCTCCCCAAAGTAAAGACTACAAAGCCTGCAGAATTTAGGCTGTTGTAGATGCAGCAGTGGGCTAGTAGAGTGAAGCTCTTACTACTCAGAAAGCCATTGTCCACTACATAGCCCTTACATGTTCCAGAGCATAAGTAGAAGTAGTTGCTGAAGTTTTTCAACCCATCTGTTAAAAACTATGTATTTCCAATGCTGATTTAACATTTACAGGAGTTATGCATATTACACTAATATGCTTTCAGACTCTTTTTTGGTCTTTAGTCACTTGTTAAAAAAAAATCTACTTTGTACCTGTCCTCCAAAACTATTCCCAAGCTTCCCAAAGTCAAAGCAGGGATAGGAGAGGAAGTTGAGCATGTAGCACCTGTTTCCACACTCCTCTAGATGCACAATGAGAAAAGAGAGAGTTGTGGCTCTGGACCTCATACTCTGCCATAGCTGGAGGGACCAGTACCTGTCTTTTTCCAGTTAAGACCTGGCTCACAGCTGACAATTACAGACTTCAGCATCCAGTTAGGTCAGTGAAAGGCTGAGCAGTGCTAGGTGAACCAAAAATAGTTCACAGAACCTAAAAAAATATATTGACTATTTCTTTAAAATTAATATTTCGCACTTGATCTAAGTTCCAAAGAAATATTACTGCAGAAGCCACATGGTATTCATGGCCTATGGATACTAGTGCAGAATAAGCATTATCAGAAGATGAAGATTCTAGTATCTAGTCAGTTTGGACAGTTTTGTTTCTAGGGCTGCATGACCAAAGAGTTACAGGATGGTGATTTGTATTGCTTAATAATATGCAGTTGCTGGGCAATGGCAACTTTCAAGACAGTCCATCTTTCTGAGCAGGAGAATTCACAGTAATTCACAATAATTCACTAACATTATAAAGAGATCTTATTTCACACCTAAATACCTTGCTGCTTTAGCACTCCTCCAGAATATGCCACTGGACAAAACCATGTGCTACAGAAAATGACATCTCACTAAATGCAAAAGCAGTAAGGACGGATTTTCCAGGTCCTTCCCATAAAAGACTGAATAGCTATATACAGTTGATTACCCCTCTTTGCTGTAAAGCAAAGTATGGTTAATAGGATGTCCTCCATCTGAACCAGGTTTCCACCAACAAGTAAATGTTTCCTTTTCAGGAGAACGGCACTTTATTATGGTAGGCTTTTCAGGAGGTGACTCTCCTGTGAGAGATAAAGAAATAAACTAATTAGTAACTTTCATGTATTAAGTCCACCCTGAATTCATAAAACAATGTCAAGCAGAGCACAGGAAAGTACAAAGAAAGGAAAAGTTTTGCTTTGTAGTAGCGCAGGAAAGAAGGGATTGTTCAGTGGTTCAGTCAACAGCCTCGTACTTTCACTTGGATTCAGAATCCTTTCTCACTGCAGCCATGCTGAGGAACTGTTTTATTTCTCTGACTCGGCTCTTCTCTGCCCCAAAATCTCATAAGGAATGCTCAAATACCACCACAACAGGCTCTATAAAATTATTTAAAATACATTCTGCTATACAGTCTATTTTCTATGCTGTCCTTCTTTCAGCTGGGATAGAGTTAATTTTTTCTCAGTAGCTGGTATAGTGCTGTGGTTTGGATTCAGTATGAGAAACATGTGGACAGTATATGGATGTTTTGGTTGTTACTGTCATGTTTATATAAACTGGGGAATTATCTGGAAGCAGGTCTGATCAGGGTGTAGGAATGGGATTTGGCATTGGTCAGTTGGGCCGAGCAACTGTATTGTGTATCACTTGTTTTGTTTTTTTTCCTTTTTATTATCATAATTATTATTTATCATTATTATTATATTTTACTTTGTTTCAATTACTAAACTGTTCTTACAGGTTTTACTTTTGATTCTCCTCCCCATTTCACTGAGGTGGGGTGTGGGATGTAAGTGACCAGCCATGGGGTGCTTAGTTGTCAGCTGGGCTTAAACTGCAACACACAGAAACCATTTTTTTATTCAAACAGTGGGTTTTAAGATTATTTTGGTTGTTTAAAAAATATGCTGTAATTTGTTTTGGGTTCTAGGTAGGAAAAATAAAGAATGTAAATGTTTGCCCACTTGTTTATGTCCTTGCCAGTAACTCTCCTCTGAAGCACCTATGATCTGCCTCCAAAGATACAAAGAAACAACACTCCTATTTCCTTGTAGTGTTATGTTCTGGATATTCAGTGTACTCTGGATATTCACCTGATTGCTGCCAAGCAAGTTTTTATAGACTCAAGCAAAGAGCTTAAGAGCAGGGCAAGGAAAAATGCTTAAATTTTGAATAGGATGATGCCAGTCAAAACACTTATGTGATTGAAACTTTTATAATTATGCACTTGTGGCAAAAATACGATACTATTACATCAATAGTAAATATTTTCTACAATGCAGAGCAGAGACATTGATTTTCCAAATTTTAATTGCCTAGGGCAGATCTGAAAATGGGTAATTTAAAAGATATTTTTCTAATAAGAGTACTTCATGTACTTCATGATCAAGAGCATTTTTCATGTCAAGTAATGAATAATACAACTAGGAATGGAAGAAGAAGATCTGCAACAACCTGGCTAAAGCGTCTGGCAACAAGATATGATGCCGTGCATATTTAGTGTGCCTATTAAAATCCAAGAAAACATAGATAATGATTTCCATGTGGTAGTATCTGCAAGTGCCATGCTCTGTTAGACACAGCAGTGCTTTCAGTCCAGCTTCTTACACGAAAACCATTACCTGACATCTGTAGCTACATATAAAATCAATGTAATTCTTAAATCAAGGGACAGGAACAATAAATTATTTAGGTACACCTGCATCAGAAATTACTTCCTCATACCTCTTTATTTGTCATAGTCAGTTTCAGCAGAGGATCCTGAGTGGATCAAAAAGACTAAACAAGCAATTACACAGAAAATGTAGTAAAATGCACTGAGCTGTTCCTCCAGCACTATGAAGTATTTGTGTGAGAAGCCAGGTTTTCAGGGCTACCATTTAGGTATCTTTCACAACATTGAACCACACAGAATTTAAAAACAATTTACAGAACAGCAACCATCCACTCACCATTGGGGATCTGGATGTTTCTTTCAGAGCTCCACTCGCTCCATTCTCCAAGGTCTAACATGCAACGGACCTGAACAATGTACTTCACCCCAGCTTGTAACCCGGTCACCTTGTAGTGTGTCTGCACTCCAACAGATATTGTCTGGAAAAGAAAATGGACTGGGAAAATAATAAAGAATTGGGACATTTTAACAAGTAATAAAGGAATAGGCTTGAGTTATTGAATTCTGAAAGTCTAGAATTACAATTGGTATTTTATAAGATTTAAATTACAGAGGAGCAAAAGTAGCAGAAAAACTTAGCAGCAAAATCCACTTCAACACTGAGATTCTGATACTCAAGAACATACTTAATTGTAGACTTCCTAGTACCCCATCAGATCCACAACACTAGGAACACTATAGGTAGTCCAGCTCACATAATAAAAACCCTTGGTGTAATTCTTCTCAGTGGCTTTAAGTGCCTTTCTGAGGTCCTTTGAATTTCTCTCCAGGACTCTTTCAAAACACACAGTTTTCTCCATCATTAAGGCATCAACAATTTAGGTAGTATTGAGGACACCTGACTATAACTTTAAGAATGACATTTTATCCTGAAAACTCAGCTGTGGGAATAGAGAGGCCCATTCCTACAGTGGGAAATGTCAGTGGAAATGCTGTGTGTGAGTAGGACACACCAAAATTTCTGAGTGGCAGGTTGCCTCCAACTAATCATGTTGATGAGTGTGATGATAACTCTCAGCCCAAATAAATAATAATTACAGAGCAACGGAGGGACTTCTCAAGGTTAAACTTGAAAAGCAGTAATAAATATGCAAGAAAACTTGTAATAGTGGGGGGGCACTGGAAACTTCAGCAGTAGCTGAAGAGTAGTTTGATGCTCTCAGAAGTTGCTCTGTCAGCATCATGACCTTTGCCTGGGCCAGCTTGTAACCTACCCTTCCTGGGAGAGGGGAATTTCTGTATATGGTGTGTATATGTCTGGGACTAGTTGTAGAAATGTGTTTATAAATTTGTAGATGCCTATTAACATTTTTGAGTGCCCAGTATTGTGATTCACCTATTGCATTGCTGAGTGATTGCTGAGTGCTGCATAGTTAAGTGATAATTAAATTTAATGAATCAAGTTTTGATCTGGATTTCTTTTAAACTATGTGAACTGCACAGTCTTCTACTGTGACACTTGGGATCAGATGCATTGACTAACATTACAAATAAATATCATATCAGTGGACTAAATAGGGTTTTGTAGTATATGACTTTAGGATGATTATGCAAATACGTTGAATTTCGCTGTTCTACAAACCACTACAGTATTTTTCTTTCCTTAATTAGATTTGGTTACATTAATTTTTCTATCCTTACAGAAACTAAATTTTTTATAATACTAGCTAAATTGAGACAACATAACTCACCGAATAGAGTATTTATACAATAAATATACTTTTCCATTACCTCCCACTCTTCCTTTTCCTCAGGTTTAAGTCGTAGCTCATAGTGATATACATGTGAATCAGAGCTGACAGCAGCTAACGGAGGTGGAGACCATTTTGCCCAAAGGTATGTTATGCTAGCAGATGTTTTTGTTTCTAGAGAGAGGTTCACAGGAGCATCTGGCTGAACTGTATAAATGAATGAAAAGCGTGCCATTAATAACTTAATTTTCTCTCAGAAGAGGCACCTCCTTTATGGTTTTGTATTTCATCACAATACTTTCAGATCATTCAGCACTTCTGTAAGGGAATAGTACAACAGCCTTTTATTTTTCCTTTCTTCCTGACAAGTTTAACCAGCTACTCATCTACCAGTATCAGCAAATCTTAAACTTTACTCTGAACTTGTCAGGCTAAGGAAATCAAATCATAATTTCGTTAGGCCACTCTTGCAAAATTAAGATGTCAGATATTTCACAGGTAAAACAACTCAGTACGTTATCATTACAATGTGTAAATCATGTGTATGCAGAAAGCAGAATGAAGTCGGGAATATTAAATACTACAAAAAGTCCATATAATGCTCAGGCAGCTATTTTTACCCTCCTGAGACTTCAGTGCCAGTAGCCATAAAAATGTTCACATTTGGAAAATTTAGGTAGCTGAACTTAATGAAAATTTTATAATCTGCATTGAGTCTAACTGAAATACTGGATACAGCTAGAAACTGCAGCCAGTTTTTAAGCCAAAGTTAATATGGCAATAAAATATGTAGTTACTTAATTTATAAATAAAATGCAGTTTTCACATAAATTTAAGATGCATGGTTTAGATTATCTGTAGGTAAAAACTTCTCTACATCAAGTTTCACATCATGAGGAAAAAAATCTTTCACCACTGCTTGTTCTGGCATTAAAAACTAGCTTGTTTTCCATTTTATTCTTCTCTTTTTACCTATGGAGGTTACATCCACATACTGAGGGTCTGAGCTGTTACTTCCAATCTCATTCGTTGCCATTACAGTGATAATATATGTTGTCCAGGGATTAGTGTGGTTTTTATCAAAGTAGCAGGAATTGGGACCTGATGCTTGGTAGTCTGGACATTCATAGATTTTTTCTTCACTGAAATAAAATGATTTAAAAGTTAAAAGTTCACAAAGTAAAGCAAAGCAGATAATATTCTAGTAATGGCCTAGGTTCAGCAGAGAAATTTGAAATGTTTATATATAATATTATATTATTTTTATATATAGATACATAATTATATTACATGACAACATAATAATTGTATATAATATATATAATTTCACCTCTGGGAAACATTTTGGTGTCAAATGCTATTGCCGTAAGTGCTCCATTGCTATTTTTACTGCAGTTTTTCTGGATGAGTGCTCTCACTCCCTTTTCTTATATAAAGGAACGTCAACAAAAGAATGGAAAGAGAAATTTCCAGAGACAGCACAAGGCCATTTTAACAATATTTATAAGCAAGTAAAAGGGAAATTAAAGACGTTCATATAGACTAAATAAGAAAAATTGCTAAATATCTTCTTTGCTTATTACCCCTGGAAATTAACCAGATGGGCCCAATGGCAGAGGACTGTTTTACTGACCAATTTACTTCACCATTCCTGGAGGTGTTCCAGGAAAAGACTGGATGTGGCACTTAGTGTCATGGTCTAGTTGAAAAGATGGAGATCAGTTGAAAGTTGGACTCAGTGATCTCAGAGGTCTTTTCCAGCCTAAATGATACTGTGCAAAGGGGGGCTTGTTTCTTCCCCTTTTTCGCTCTCTCCCTTCAGCAGGGAAAAGACTGAAAAGTAATCCCTGCTACCTTTAAAAGATTGTTGGGGTGAGGAGACCCCCATGCAGCTCACAGAAGAGCTTGTGGATGTACCAGAGAAATGAAACTTCATAAGAAGGACTGAGGTGAGGCAGAGTCCTGCTGAAGATTTTGTGACCCTGAGGGAAACCCATGCTGGAGCAGAACGGCTCAGGTGGGATGTTGGGATCCGAGTGAGGAATCCATGCCTCTTGAAGATTTGTTGCTCTGAGAGAGACGAAACTCACGCTGGAGGTATATAGCTTGGGTGAGATGCTGGGATCTGTGTGTGGGATCCATACTGCTGCTGAAGATTTGTGACCCTGAGAGAAACCTCACGCTGGAGCACAGACAGCTCAGGTGAGATGTGGGGATCCAAGTGAGGGATCCATGCTAGACTCATGCTGGAGAGGTCTATCAAGGACTGTTCTCCCATGGGAAGGGACCTCCACAGGGAACAGGGGTGGACTCTTAAACCATTATCCCCTGTAACCCTGTGGAAGAAGATCCATAGTAAGCAAGTGTCCCCTTGCAAGTCCATGGAAGAGAAGACCCTTTAGGACCTGGGTAATACCCAGCCTTCAGTCTTAGCCCAGGAGGTGGGTAGGCCTGGCCCTGGAGATCGACACAGAGCAAGAGAGAGAGATGAAAGAATTCCAGCTGCGACAAGGGTGCTGCAGAGTTACTGGAGAGAGAGCTGGAACTCCGAGAATGGAGAAAAGGACTACTTCTCCTCCTTGGACTGATATATAAAGGGGGGAGGAGTACTTCTGTAAATACATAGCACTTTTATTTAAGTAGAATTACTGTAGATAGAGTTCTTCAGTAGCCTTTATTTTGCTAGTAATAAATGCTCCTACTATTTTCCCCAAATCCTGTCTCTTTTGTCTGCATAAACCTTCTCTCAACTAATAGTAATTGTGTGGGGAGTGTGAAAGCAAATTGACCTAAGGCAAAACCACGACAAAACCCCAGCTCCCTCAGTCACTCCTTATAGGACTCATGCTCCAGACTCTTTCCCAGCTCAGCTGCCCTTCTCTGGACCTGCAGCACCACCTCCTGAACTGAGGTGCCCAAGAACTGGACACAGCCCTCCGGGTGCAACCTCACCAATGCCCAGTATGGGGGGAGAGTCACTACCCTGGTCCTGCTGGTCACCCTCTTTGTGACACAAACCAGGATGCCACTGGCCCTCTTGCCCACTTGGGCATGTGCTGGCTCATGTTCAGCCACTGTCAACCAGCACCCCCAGGTCCTTTTCTGCTGGGCCATTTTCCAGTCATTCTTCCCCAGTCCTGCAGTGTAGCCTGGGGTTGTTGTGACCTAAGGGTAGGACCTGGTACTTGGCCTTGTTGAACCTCATCCCATTGGTGTTGGCCCATCAATCCAGCCTGCCCTGATCCCTCTGCGGAGCCTTCCTACCCTCCAGCAGATCAACACTTCCTCCTACCTGGTGTCATCTGTGAACTGACTGAGGGTGCACTCGGTCCCCTTGTCCAAACCACCACTGAAAGTACTAAACAGGACTGGGCACAACACTGATCCCTGGGGGACACCACTGGTGATCAGACACCAGCTGGATGCAGCCCCGTTCACCAGCACTCTCTGAGCCCGGCCCTACTGCCAGTTCTTAACCCAGCACAGAGTGCCTCTGTCTGAGCCATGGACTGCAGGAGTATCTTTGGGAGACGGTGTCAAAGGTTCTACTGAAGTCCAGGTAGACTATACCCGCAGCCTTCCTCTTATCCACTAGGTGGGTCACCTGCTCATAAAAGGAGATCAGGTTAGTCAGGCAGGACCTGTCTTTCCTCAGTCCATGCTAGCCTGGTCTGATCCCTTGGTTGTCCTGTATGTGCCGTGTGGTCACACTCAAGATGATCTGTTCCATGACCTTTCTGATGTTAATCTATCTGGTTCTTAACATGATCGCCATCATAATTACCCCCCCCCCCCCAAAATATCTTATTAGTTCATTGTCTCTTACAAATTACTTTCATATAGGTCTTCAGCTTCTTCAGGAGAGGGATAGTTTTGTGCTCAATTAGAGCTGAACTGGGTGATATACTCACAGCCTGCCCCAGGTTTGAAGAATTACACAAACCCAAAGCACCAGCTGATGTGGTGCAAGAATACATGTTAATCCCACTGTTATACTCTATACACCATTAATAATAAAGTCTCATTTTCCAGGCAGTTTTATCACAGTTCTCAAAGAAAGATGCGAGTAAGGCGATAGTATGTGAGAGACAATGAGCCTAGAAATGCAATTGTGGACCAGATCTGGAGCACTGGGCAGTGTCTGTGTTCAGCAGATTTAATGAAATGGATAAGCACTCCTATCCCTCCCTAGGCAGGGCTGTTCCGGGCAGTGACATAACTTGAAATGCTCCTTAAAATTTGTTTTGATGAAGACTGAAACATCAGGGCTTTAATAAAATAAAAGCTCTTAGGCCAGTGTTGAGTGTGGTAACTTTATTAAAGGCTGCATCATTCCTGTTCAATTAATACCAAATGATTTGGAGTTTACTTAATTGAAGCAGGGGTATCTGAGGCTTTACCTTGTGTATTCTGAACCTTACTAGATTTATTCAAAGAAATTTAATCTCTGACCCTCCCTGCTTGCTTGGCCCTGTTCAAAGACCTCTTGCTTTCAGGAAAAAAAGTAAAGTTAATACAAAGATACACAGGTTAAACAAAGTTGCCAAACAAATACATATTTTATTCCTAAACAGGATGAGGGAGTCACAGACTTTACCAAAACAACAGTTTTAGAGAGGCAATACCCAAATCTGATTTCACTCCATTTTGGGAATCATGAAATTGGCTAAATATCCAAAAGGGGAAACAATTACTCTCTATACTCCAGCTGGAGTTTTGCTGTGCATGCTAATGGACAGGCTCCGTGGCAGGGACCCAAGGGAACCCCCAGCCCTGACTGCCTCTGCCCAGCCTCCCCACGCACTACCGGGGTCCCTTGTCCCTGTTCCAGCCTGTTGTATCATGGAGGGTCTCCAGCTCTCCACAACCCTACACTTCCAAGGGCCCCCCCCATGAGCCAACCTTGATCTGTGGGTTGATGTCCTGGCCCAGCCTGGTCTCAGTCTGTCCCTGTCCCCCGCAGCCCGCCCTGCTCCTTGGCTGAGGGGAAGTGATGGGCTCTGGATGGGAGCCCCACTGCTCCATGTCTTGATGCTCCACTCCTCAGAGAAGACCCTATTCAGCTAAAAGCTATGTGCCTCCTGATAAGATGGACAAATATGCCTTTCCCAGCACTTCTTCAGCGGGATTTCAAGTTGGATGAGTTTTAGTAGGGACAGGCTGAAGTTTTGGGACTGGCAGTGGTCATGTTTTCTTCTTACAAGGGAAGCCACTCATCTCATGCAGCCCTTCTTGGCCATCTGAGATTAACACAGATTCATAAAAGCAACTTTATAAACTAATGTTATCATTCCCTTATTCTGTCATAACCATCACTTGATCACTTACAGAATATGTATGCACCATTCGTTACCTGTCCTTGCTGTAGAACAGGGTGTAGTTGGTAGGAAGTCCTCCATCTGAGCCAGGCTTCCACCAACAAGAAAAGGTTTCCTTTTCTAGGGAACGACATCTTACTATCTTAGGTTTCCCAGGATATGACTGACCTAGGGAAGTGCAAAAATCCGTTTAGTTATATTAGAGGTGGACAGTGTTTTTGGTTGTTATTGCTGAATGATAAGCCCAGGTACCAAGGAATGCTTTTTTGAAGGCAATAAAATTACACAAAGCTATGGACTGAATTGGGCAAATAAATCTGCCTGGAAAAAGGATCAAAACTCTCAGAAAAATACACATATATATAAAAAAAAATTATAAAAATACATTTTTACCTCAGACTTATAAAATAACTGCTAAAATTATTTTGCTTCTCTTTTTAAGATGAAAATTTAATTTTTACCTAAACTCAAAAAGTACATATTTATCTCCAAAGTAAATTGCAAAGACTGGAAGTAAAAACCTTTGGGTTTTTTTCTCCTAAGACATTGCAATTTTTTATCTATCTTAAAATTAAATTTCACCTTGAACTTTGCAACAGAACTAACTAAAACTCCACTATTTGTGCATAATTGGGGTAAACTACAGGTTAGACAGAAAGAAAGAAATTAACAGGCTAGATGATTTTTTTTGTGTACTGGCAACCTGAGCATTCCCTGGTAATCCAAATACATTTAAGAATATGTCTTGTTAAGACAACCCGTCATTAACTTATATCAAGAACACAGACCACTAATTTACAAAAATTTTGACATGAAAAGCATGCAATCTTTTGACTTAAACTTACCTTTATTTCAAGTTTCATATCACTATCTCAAATAGTGTGACTATTTATATGACACTAATTCCCAAGAAGATGACAAGGATGAAGCAAATGTAGGGATGGAGTGAGTGCCATTCATTGCCTTTTCATCATTGCCACCACACAATCCTTAAATCAATATTATATATAAAAAAGGACTCGAGTCATTTTCAAAATGCCATAGAAAACTTCAGAAGAAAGTAGTTTAAATAGGTCCAGGCTCCACCAGTGGTCAGGATAGACTGGATAAAGCTTCATACTTTTCTAAAGAAAGTGTTTTAAGGAAAAACAAGTGTTTCAGGATGGGTTGTACTCACCAGTCAGACCTGCTGTAGTCAGGGCAAGCTGCAAAATAATGTGAACTGATGAAATGAATCTCCGATTCATGACGTCTGCTTCTCCTCAGGAGGAAATGTCAGATCAGGGGCTCACTGAAAAACACGCCATCGTGCAACAGCCAATAGCAATGCTTAATGTATCATATGTATTACTTGACTTGATCAAAGCCCTTTTTGAATTGCAGCTAAATGATTCTTGTTCTCTCTCAGAAAGTTGTGGCAACACCTACAGTTCCATGTCAGAAGCCAAAAATCTGAATCCCAGAGTAGCAAGAAGGTTTTCCCAAAGGTCTTTGAATGGTTAGCAGTGCATAGCATTAACAAATCTTGCATATTTATTTGACATCTTGGGATACTTTGTGCTTATCTTGGAGTTCTAACTTTTACAGTCATTAATTTACCTGAGAAACCAGCCTTTTGGCAACAAAATTACAGTTTTATCCCTACTGATACAAAGAAGATGTCAAAGGATTAGAGCTCTGAAAGTCCTGAGAACAGAAGACAAATAGAAAAGATCTGACATTTATTTAGAAGGTTTTCATTTTTGATCTAATCTCATGACTTCTGAATATTTGAGACTGTTGGTGTTGAATTAGGATCACCTGAGCTGAAGAATGCTACAGTTTCTGTGCATTCAATTCATTGTTTTTACTGCATTTGATTCTGCAGTGAAGTGGAAACGTCAAGATCAGAGAAAAGAAAGCAAGGGAAAAGTATCATAACATCACAAATAATTTACTGTGTGAAAATGTAAGATGGGATGCAATTATACCTCTTCAGCCTGTAAAGGCTAGTGCTGTAGAACGCCAGAAAAAAACACATGTGCACTTGGAAAGCCACCAGCTGTGACAAAGACCCGATCCCTGCAGTCGGCTGACACCACTAGACGTCCTCAGAATTCAGGCTATAACTCTGAGTGCTCTGGAGATCCTGTTGCTAAATCTGTTTGCTCAGCCTGAGGGAAAGACAGTAGCACTTAAAGCAAACCTGCCGTTTCTCCCACCAATATGCTTCCTGCTTGGGGATGATGACTGCAGTCAACTGTTAGCTTCCCAGTAGCCAGCCTCACTCCTTGAAACTAAAGAAGAACAATTTACTAGCTAAATAGCAGGTTCCTTATCTCAGCTTCCCACTCCCACCAACCACATCTGACAGGTATTTTCTACGCTTGCAATCCATCCAGTGTAGCACAGCAGGGGAACAAGCTGTGTCTTTGGTGAGGAAAAATTCTTGTTGGTTTATCAGATGACTCAATTTTCAGCATGCAACTCATTTTCTGCATCAAGAAAATATAATCCATCATCATACAAATGTTTTTCAAGCACAAAGGCAAATGAAGTATCAGTTAATTTAACTGAGCAAAGAATATGTTTACTGTGGGCAATGAGGAAAAGAATAACAGTTGGCCACATTTCCATATACCACTTCCAAATATCCAGGCACATTTCACACCCGTAACTGAGGTACATGCTATGAAATCACATCTGGGCTAGTTTTAAACTCACTCAGAGCATTCTATCTATATGCAGGCTGTGGAGAGAGAGCCACCTAAACATAAATTCTAGTTTTGTGTAAGCACATGGAAATTTTATTACTGTAAACAAATGGCAGGCACAAATGTTAGTGCTTACCTTCAGAAATTAGCGGAAAACTTGGTGTTATATAATGAGGGGCACAGGTGACTGTGCTCATACAAGGCATATTTTTCTCAAGTGATGGTGAAATAATGAACTATAAAAAATAGCTATTTCATGTACATATGATACCCTTCAAAATATTTCACTATTTCTAAAAATAATTGAAACATTTGCAGAATACAGCACTTTCAAACTCAGACTCATGCTGTGATTCCCTATAAGGAAGTGGTATCATGACTTCTTTTTTTATTTTTACAGACATACCTTTTTTGTGTGAAGAATTGACAGGTAAGAAAAACTTATTACAGTGGCTAAAAGAATGAAATTTTTCAATACAGCAAAGGAGAGGTATCACAAAAGATCTCTGTTAGAGCACTCTTGCAAGTAAAATGGGATAATTTTGGAAACTGAAGACCTAAAGAACCAAATTAATAGAAAGAGGAAGAAATTAATGCATTTAAAACCAAGTACTTTTTCCTTGGGAGCATTTGAAAATGAGATGATTGTGAATCACTTCTGCAATGTGGCTGTGAAGATGAACAGGAGATATACAGGGGAGGAATATGGACCTATTAGTGCCACACAGTAGGCTCTGTACACAATTCTCGTCACCTATACTTGGAAAAAAACCAGACCAGATTTAGAAAAGATTTAGAACACAGCCACAATCATGATACAGAGGCTGTCTCATGATGGCGATTTAAAAGAATTGGCTTAGTACTCCATGAAAGGGTGGTTGTCGCCTATAAACATAGCAGGAGATAAGCATCAAACGAGGCAAAATAAGAATGTGTAAAATAAGAATGTTTCCATGGTTGCCTGGGATTTGGAATTTGTGATTCAAATAGAGTTCATAAGGCTTCGGAAGAGATTTTTTTTTTTTTTTTTGAAAATACTTGCTTAAATAAAATAGATAACACTCCCTTCATCATAACTGTATCAAAAATGCATCATCTGCCCTATCTATGACATAAAAATGTTTTCATAAAAGGGCAACTAGCACTACTGAAGACGCTGTGAGGGAATGCCTCACTTTTAGGTCTGAATGAATGCTTTTATAAGGGGTACAGTGGACACTGATTTGCCACCAAGTCATGCAAAACCAAGGGTTGAGTAACTGATAATTAAAAGAACATATGCCTCCGTTTGAAGGTTTTGATTTAATTCCAACCAAGTTATTGCATTCTGACCTTCCAGCTGGATTTCTCCCTTTTAACACAGCCATTATATACTATTCAACAGCTGCACATCACACGCTGGAAAACAGTGCTCCTTGATGGAAATGTAAATTGTTACAGCAGTGTTAAAATGCTCAGAAGAGTTAGATGTTCCTGTAAAATAATGCTACTCTAGAACAGATAACATAATGAAATTGTAGGTTTGAAAACTGTGCTGACAATGCTGCTAGATGAAGCTGAAATCTAAACACCAATACTAAAATCAGGTGCTGTGGAGCACAATTGAGAGACAAATGGTCTTGTCCTAACTGACTTTTAGCTCTTGTGTTCTTTTCTTTCTTTCTTGGCTATGCTGATGGACAAATTTCTTGAGATTGTCAGAGAAGTCTTTACTCAGTTCAGCACAGATGGAAAAATTTTCTAGCTGCAACGCTTTCAGGCTTGCAGGAACAGGAACAGCTGTGTATCAGCCAATGGCAATGGTATTATGTCCATCACAAGTTCTGCTTTTGCGGCTAAATAAATCAAAAGCCAAAAGTACTTTACCAAAATGTACTGAAAAAGTTTCACATTCCCACCAGTCATGATGATAAACAATGTTCATCTTTCAGCCTGGGGGAAGGCAGATTAAGGAGTTTGAAAAACATCAGAGTTCATTACCATTTCAAAGGCTTAACTACAGCTCTATGAAACCAAGGACAGATAAAGAACAGAATAAAGCAAGAATGTGACAGTCTGTTTGACCATCCAGAACATTCAACTATACTGTGGATACTGCATGAGTCTGCCTGCCCACGCAGAGCTCTCAAATGTCAACACAGATAAATGTTCCTAGCCATGATTTGAGCACTGTTATTGCTAGATGTGTGTCTGAATGACAGTGATGGTTGGGAATCATACTGTAAATTAAAAGTTGTAGGTGTGCAGTGTGACCAGAGCTCTGCTTTCCCTCTCTGAATGAGCCCTAATTGGATGTCTCAGAACTCTGAATCCCTGAGGTACCTAGTACGGCCTTCACGGGGATGTACAGGCTCCGGAGAAGATATGGAGTTCAGACATGTCTCTGATCTGAATTTCTTGTGACTGCTTCCAGGAGGATACTTAGCACATAGCTTCTGCGAGGATGCTTAGCACCTACTTTGTGAGGATGCTTAGTACTTGCTGTTGGCTGTGGAGGGAAACCTTGACATCCATTTAATTTATTGCGACTAAGGACTTCACATTTCTGTTTTGCATAAAATGGGAGCAAACATCTTTTAGATTTCACCTGAAAAGCCTACAAACAGGTTATAGTATATTTTTCCTAAATTCCTCTCCTAAACAAATCACCTCCTAACAATTCTTTGCAGCCCTTCCTTTGATTAGCAGTCAAGATGTGATGATGAATGGAACAACTTCCCTTACACATATGCTCCTCTGTCTGAAAGACTTGATATATTTTTGAAAAAGAAAATTAATGAAAACACAAATTCTTGAAAATGGTTTAGACCCTTACCTTCTCCATCATAGTAATTATGCTCTTAAATCCTATCGATTTTACAGAACTGAGCTTGAAACACTCCTAAAAACTCTCACCATCTAAATTGACAAAGAAAAAAAAAAAAACAGGCAAGCCATGTCAAGAAGAAAGTGCCATTATCTCTACTTTACAGATTGGAAACTAAGACACAGAATGACCAAATGCTTTGCTTAGACTCAAATTAGAAGTTTAACAAAAGCTAAAAACTGATTCTTTACTACAATTTTTCTTTTCTAAATACCACCTCTACTGCCTTTGTTTTCCCACTAAAACATGATTTAGCTAACAACAGTAATCTTTATCTACCACTTTCACAGCCCCTGAATATTCCATTTTCTTCCCTGGTGGTTTGAATGTTTAGCCATGATTGCAGGATTATTATTTTTACAGCTGTCTTTTACAGAAAAGAAAATCATAAGCTCTAAAGAGTAAAATTTCAGAATCTGAAAGCTCGAATTTACATTAGAATTTGAATTATGATGAAAATTCATCTCTACCAATTACCAAGCCCAACACCACAGTTATCTTCTGACAATAAGTTTAAATATTCTTTATATATAGGATAGTCACAAAATATAAAGTTGAATTTCCTACCTAAAGGATTCATGTATGTAAGGAAGCTTTTTACTCCTCTCTTTCATGCATGTCAGATCACTTCACAGGCTGCAAAAGAAAAAGAATTCTAGGATTAGTATATTGCCGGAAGGATCACTATTTTGTTCCTAAAACATACAGAGAAAAAAAGGTCACTCTTTGTATCAGTTGCTGCAGATACTGAAACTCTAAGTCAATACATTTAAACACTGATAGCAATAGCGACTTGGTAAAACACTGTGTTACAGTACATGCTTTCCTTTATCTGTTTCAATAAAAGCACAGAACTTTGTAGCAACTTCAGACGCAGTTTAAACTTACTGGTAGACTGTGCTAGGCTACTCGAAGGCTGATCAACATCTACACAGGCCAGGCCAGGATCAGATAAAAACTGACAGTTCTAGCAGCGTAATCAGTGAAAATGGGGTGCAGGGAATTAGCTTCACTTGCCAAAGTCCTTGTGCGGAACCCACCAAACAAACCCCCTTCCCCACACGCCTCATTGACTGAAGGAGGTATAGCACTCATTAAGGGATGCCTGAGGGGAAAGAATGTGGGGAGGAAAGGCAGGGATCAAAGTGGACTGGGGAAAAACAGGCATGGGAAAATAGGAGGAATTAAGAGGTCAGTTCATTGTAAACCAGTGGCTTGTCAGATAGAAATGTGTGTCTGATCACTGTGCTCTACTCTATGCTCTCATTAAATCCTATTTCTAACTATCTTCTGTCTGGATGGACTGTTCAGAGTGGTACTTTTGGATGCTAGGGACCTTTCAGCTGGATTAGCCAGTGGGGAAGAGAGGGACTGCAAACCTCCAGGCTCAACTGCAGCTCCCCCCACAACTGGGGAGACCAAGGGATCTGGGGCCAGCTACTGTGTCACCTGAGCATCCAAGAGCAGCTACTAGAGTGATCCATTTTTCATGTGCAAATGCAAACACGTATGTGTAAATGTATATGTTGCATGTAAATGTTACAGCTTCACTGATGTGTATTGCCTCTGTGTGGTTTTTGTGCCCATGCACCCACCCTCTGGGAGCAGCTGCTCAGCTCTACTACAGGCAGAAATTGAGGATTTGGACCTAAAGCAACCTCACATCTATGGGATTACCTGATTCAATTGGCTCTAACAGACCGACATGCAATGTTTTACCAAAAAACCCTACCATGTTTAACTACCTGCTCTCTGTCATTCCATCCAAACACACTATTCTGTGAAGAAGGAATTTAGATGAACTTCCATGGGCAATTTATCTGCTAGAGCAATAAAAACTGTTTAATTCATTCAATTACTAGCTTCGAAATGAATAACTTCATCACACTATTTCTTACAGAAATCTCTCCACAAACAATTTGAAATAGAGTAGAATATTTTCTAACTAACATTAAGAATATACTGTGTCTCCTGGAGACCAGGTGGAAAGACATATTACTCTGTTACCAGGGTATTCTTTTGTTTGGCTCCATTTCAGTAAAGCTAATGAGAGTAATAAAAATACCAAGAAGTTATTTGGCAGCTAGACATTATGCCATTACAGAGGAATGGATTTAATTGAGGGCGATAAATGGGTTCTTTTTTATGTGCATATTTAAAATGGCATCAATAACATACAACTGAATATGGCAGAAATAATGTTTGCAGTTACTCAACCGTAACACAAGGTGAAATGCAGCTTAAAGACAGAGCTCAATAAATGCTTCCTGCTTTAGAGCGGACAGAAATCTGGTTGACAGTGTGCATGCTGGGAAAACTGTCTCGAAATTGACTAAATATAATTTTCTCAAAATTCTGCCTCATAGATCTATATGGTTTCACAGAGACATTTTAAAAATAATGCAGTCACTTAACACTTACAGGGAAGTCTAATTCTAAGAGAAAATGAATGTATGGTTATGATCATTAAATAAAAATAACACTTTTTCTAGTTTCTACTACTTGGTACTACATCAAAACATATAGTTCTATCCTACTAGCAAATCTTTTTCTTCTTTCAAGACTGCCTTCATCAAGAAGTGATTTTATGAATTAGTGACACATCTTTACACAATATGACTGACACAAAATGTGTTTTTTATCAAAGTTGCAATAGTGCCATAAGCATTGGCTTCATCATATCACTGACTGGAAAGGATCATGATAGAATAGACCTTAACCTTCTGCATTAACCAGGACAATTGACTTTCATCCAAGTATTTCCACATCAAATAATGATTATTCATACAATATTTATTGTGATAGTCCTGAGAACAAAGACAGAATGCCATTGTCTTAGGTACTGTACAAAGAAGAGTTTCTGCTCTTAAGATCCAAAAATGTAAGTAGCCAATTAATCATACAGAATGGAAGACAGGGATCTAAAAAACAGATCAAAACTTGAATATTTTTTGTTTGAGACTAAAAATAATTTTCCTTGTAAAATATTCTCAAAATATCCCATAAACTGGAAACAGCCTATGAAGGATCAGTTTTAGAAAATTAATTTCAGAATGCCACAAATTTTTTCAACCAAAACCAATGCATACAAATTTTCCAAAATTCCAAAATAAAATAAGTATCACCAAATACCAACATAAAGCATTTTGTTTTGAAATTTATCAGTAGAATATTTTATAAAACGCAATAAAATAATTGTGGCATATTTTCAACTTTTTTTTTTTTAAGTGAAATCATGTTGTGATGAAAAATTTCTGATAATCTTTAATTATAAACAGAATTTCAAAGAATAATGAAAGACATGAAACTCTCGCTATTTTGACATTTCTGGGGGGAAATGCTGGTCTAGAAGTGAGGAGGTTTATTGAAGAGAGACTAAAGTTATGAAAACTTTAGAGGAAGCAAAGGAATAGGACTTTGAAAGTAGTAAAGGGAACACAATAATGGAGTGTGAGAGGTTAGAGTGAATAAGACAATGAGGAAGGACACAGAAGGGGGAAAGAGCAAATAATTTGTTTGCACCAGGCAGTAAAGGGTTGGCTGAACTTGCAATTTCAATTGTGAGAAACAAAGTCTTGAGTTATGATAGGTTTTAAATAAGAGTTTATTATATGGAAAAAGCAAACAGCATGCTGGGATGCAGAGTGGAGTCTTCGCTCCAAAAACCTCTGCGTGTCCAATACAGCATTTGACTAACATCTATTCTAGCTATTTCATGCATAATCACTACATCATATACATATACATTTAAAATATGCTTATTTTCACAACTAGAGCTAGGTTGTTATCTCTACAAGAGTGATAGTTTTCCTATAATTCATACATTCTTGGACAACAAGGTGTGTAGAAGATCATTGACTTAACAGAATTCTACCATAGTTCATTTTAGGACAACAGAGATGGTTCATGGCTTATGACCTTGATGACCTTACAGATGGTCTGCCTCATTTCTTTATGGGGGTGCAATTAAGTTTTACAATCTGTTTGTTTTACTCTTTTACTGACATGAATTATGGGTGTGTTTGTTACATACTCTATGATTTCATTTGAGTTGCAAAGCTCCACCCACTGGATGCCAACGCCCAAGAGCCTTTTCTTGGTGAACACAGACGATGGGGTTGGGTGAGGGAGCAGCATCTCCTGGATCCTAGTGCCTGCAAGCATCAGCAGCGTAACGCTGAAGAAGGATGTGACCTTAGCTCTAGAGCAGTTTCTTTAGTCTCTCTCACTGAAACAACCCATTTTGGCTGAGTTTGAGTCTGGAATCTCTCTGCAAAGCTTTATGAATGTGGAAAAACTCTAAAAGAAAGAACCTGGCTGCAGGGGAGCAAATGTTCTTCTTCAATCACAAATATGCTCAGCAATTAATATCAGTAGGAGCAGAGAATAATAACTGTTTTCTGTTTCAGTGTTCTCTTTTTCAGGAGGTCCTTAGTATGAGGTTGTAAAAGTAGCTGTTTCTTTGTCTTTTTCCAAGTACATATTGTACTTTTACACTTGAATTGTTTAAGTGACTGTAGAGTTATTCTGTAAAAGAACACAATTACCAAAAATTACCACTCCAGTCAAACTGACAAAAACACTCAATGTCCTATTATTTCTCAAACATATTCCCCAAGCTTCAAACTTGTTGATAAAAGAGCTTTGTGGTTGCATGCTAAAGGCCACCACTAATGCCACAAACAGATAAGTGGCACACTGCTTAGCTAAAGGAATGAAACAATGTTATCCTGATAATCTAAAACTAATTATTTGAGAGAAATTGCTGGCAGTAATGGGAGTACCACAATATTGAACATTCAGCCTTCAGTTTATTGAGCCTAAAATAATTAATCTTTCGGCACTTTTAAAGCATTTAAGTGGATATTCAGAGAAGTATCTTTATTATGCCTAGCTCAAATCTTGGTGGCATTTTGTGGATCTCCTCCAGAACCTAACTCCTGAGTAGACTCATGTTTAACACATTTTGTAAACGGATTATAAGTTTGTTCAGGTGGCATTAACCTCTAATGTCAGCAGAAAATACACAGTTACCTCCTGAGGAGAGTCTTATTACATAAAGTTAAAAGTTCAAACTTAACTGCTAAACCAGTAATAATATCATTACTGTTTTATCACAGCTTGGTTAAGTTCTGGTCATCTTCCAGAAAAAAAAATTAAAAATAATAATAAAAAAAATAGGTTTGCAATGGAAGAACACTGAAGCTCCTGAAAGTTGCATTCTGAGGGAACTGAATTCACCTTTTGATCAGAAGTACAAATTTCCCATCTGATTTCTTCACAATGAATACATAAACTGAATGAAGTAGAGCACTAACCTGATCTACTCCCCATCTTCATCCCAGGCTGCTATTCCTTGGAGATAGTCAGCCACAGTGAACTGTGGTTTGGATTTTTCTTTTCTTTTGCAGTATAAGGAAATGACCCTGAGGTTGCAGACTGTGAGATTTTTATGTGCTTGTTTACAGAATAAAGACTAACACTGCAATCTCTGGAGGTTAAAGGTAAATTTATTAATGTATTCATTCATTAACCCATTCACTCATTAACTCATTCGCTCAGGTCCTTACAAACTGCAATGACAACTGTGTCTCCTACTGATGAATGTGTTTCTGACAGGTAATATTTGCATCTCTGACAATAAATAAGCATCTGCCAAGATACTATTTGAATAAGTTAATTTTGCAAGGAAAAAGAAAGCTTCATAGTACAGCAAAGGCAAACAAACAGCTTCACAAACAGA